CCACTGGAGCCACAGCGCCACTTCGGCTTTTTTCTTTTCGCTTATGTGGTGCTGAGGAATCGAACCCAGAGCCTCATGCATGCAAGGCAAGCACTCTACCACTGAGCCACCTTCCCAGCCCGAGGGATAGCATTTTTGTGAAGAGTAAATGTTGAAATGTGTAAATTTTCTCTGCTGATGTATAGTTACATTGCAGTATTTGAAAGGGCTTTTTGGGGATCCTGGGGATTGAACCTAGGGCCTTGTACATGCCAGGTAAATTGCTCTCACCACTTGAGCAATAGCCCCAGTCAATTTTGTTTTATTTTTTATTATTTATTATTTTTATTTATTTTTAGTCTGTCATGGGGCTTGAACTCTAGGCTTAGGTGCTGTCCTTGCACTCTTCAGCCCAAGGCGAGCACTCTACCCCTTGAGCCACAGCACCACTTCCGGTTTTCTAGTGGTTTATTGGAGATAAGAGTCTCATGGACTTTCCTGCCTAGGCTAGCTTTGAACTGTGATCCTCAGATCTCAGCCTCCTGAGTAGGTAGCACGACAGGCGTGAGCCACCAGCACCCAGCTTGTTTGTTTTATTTTTGTGTGACAAGGACTTTACATCTTTGCCTGGTCTGGCAAATTCATAATCCTCCCATCTCTATTTCCCAAGTAGTGAGGATTACAGGCCTTGTGTCATACCTAGTTTGGAAGGGCCTTTTATTACTTTATATCCTAAACTTAAGACACCATAGGCTATATGGTAAGTAAGCATCCACAGACTCTGTTAGGTGTCTTGTTTCTCTATCAAGTAACTTTTCTCCTTTTCTTACTGAGATAGCTAACTGCCTTTTGGAGAACTACCTGGTTTGTAGATGATGCTTTGCTTAAATGTCATGTTAGTACTCTAAAAAATTCTGTTTGAGGCTGACTGCTGGTGGCTCACATCTGCAGTCCTTGCTCCTCAGGAGGCTGAGACCTGGAATATTGCAGTATGGAGTTCCCCAGGCAGAAAAGTCTGTAAGAGTCCATCTCCAGTGAACCAGCAGAAAGCTAGGCTGGAGCAACGCTTAAGTTGTAGAGTGCCAGCCAGCTGTAAGCAGATGACCTGAGTGTGAGGCCCTTGTGGTTAGACTTGAACCAGCAAAATGAGCAACACACCCCAAAGCCAAAGACTTCCGGCTTTGCATATTTTTTGTTTGAATCAAAATTCAAAGAGTCAGGTTATGAATAAAGATTGTCACATCAGTTCCAAGAGTGCCCTTTGCCCTCCTTCCTACTGTTATGAGTGATAGTTTTTTGTAAAGAATTCTTTTGAAGAGCCTGTGATGAATAATGTTCACCAATTTATGTCCTTATAAGTCAGTTTACCTGTTGCTTAGAGTAAACCAGAGTGAAAATAACTACTCAGACTAAGGATATGGAAAGATTTTCCAGGTTGATGGATTGGTAAGTCTATGTATTGTTAAGATAACAAGAGTCCCCAAGTTGCTCAACAGTTTTAACTCAATTTCTGTTGAAATCCTGCTGGCTTTTTTTTTTTTTACAAATTTCCAATTTCTGTTGAAATCATTGCTAATCCTAAAATTCACATGGAAATAAAAAGGGACCTAGAATAGCCCAAACTACAGAAACAGTGTTGGAGGTTATGTATCTCAATTTTGAAACTTGAAGTAAAGCTGTGGTAATCATCTTGGTAAACACATCAATGGAACAAGATTGAGAATTTAGAAATTAGTGCATTTGGGGTCAGTTTTTATCCCCCTAGTCCTGGGGCTTGAACACAGGGCTCCAGCGCTGTCCCCAAACCTCTTTGTGTCCAAAGCTAGCACTCTACCACTTGAACCACAGCGCCACTTCCAGCCTTTTCTGAGTAGTTTATTGGAGATAGCATCTCCCAGACTTTTCTGCCAGGCTGGCTTCAAATGGTGATCTTCAGATCTCAGTCCCTTGAGTGGCTAAGATTATAGGCATGAGCCACCAGCACCTGGCTAAGGTCAATTCTTTTTTTTTTTTTTTAATTTTATTTTATTTGTGAACATACTGTACAGAGGGGTTACAATTACATGGGCAGGATAATGCATATATTTCTTACCAAGCATTGCAGCCTCCTCCTTTGTTTACCCTTCACATCCCTTCCCAGCCTCCCCCCTCCCTCCCCAATCTTTCCCCCCCCTCCCCTCGCGTCCCCCGCACTAAGGTCAATTCTTGATGGAGGCAATAAGAGAATTTAGCAGAAAAGGAATATTCTTTAATAAATAGTACCAGACAGTTGGATGTGTATACACAAAAGAATGAATTTGAGCCTTTCCAAATATAGTGTATAAAAATTAACTCAAAGTGGAACAAAGACCTTTATTTAAAAGTTAAGCCGGGTGTCTGTGGGTCAAACCTATAATCCTAGCTACTCAGAAGGCTGAAATCTGAGGATCACTGTTGAAGGCCAGCCCAGGCAGGAAAGATGGAGAGACTCTTATCTCCAATAAGCCACTCAGAAAATGAGAAGTGGCGCTGTGGCTCAAGTGGTACGAGTGCTCACTTGAGCTGAAGAGCTGAGGGACAGCGCCCAGGCCCAGAGTACAAGCCCACGACCGGCCCCCCTCCCCCCAAAAAAAGTAGATCTATAAAAAATTTTAGGGAAAGAATGAGGTGTAAATTTACATGATCTTGGACTAAGGAATGGTTTCTTAGATATGATTTCAAAAGCACAATGAAACAAAGAAAAGATATGTTGAATTTCTTCAAAATTAAAACCTTGAGACAGGCATTGGTGGCATATGTTTGTAATCCTAGCTCCCTGGGAGGCTGAGATACACGATCAAGTTTCAGAAGCAGCACAGACATCCATGTCCATATGGCTTCCCTACTCGTCCAGTAAGTGGGTGAAGTGCTATACTCCTTGTCATCCTTGTCATCCCAGCCATTTGGGAGGCTGAGATTGGATGGCTTATAGTTCTAGGCCAGCCTCTACATAAACAAGGGAGACTTCATCCCACCAAAGAAGTTGTCTACAGTGTTCATTTGTTATTCTAGCTACCTTGGCAAATAGGAAGATCAAAGTCTAGATGTACCTCTGGGCAGGAAGAAAAACCATGTCTTAAAAATAACCAATGTAGAAAGGGGTGGAGTCATGCACAGTGCTAAGAGTGGTAAGAAAAACAAACCTGTGTTTCAAATAATACTATCATGAAAGTGGAAGGAGGGCCGGGTATGCCAGCTGTGAGGTCCTGGAGACCTCTGTCCTCGCAGAGACACACAAAATGGGAGGAGATACCTGAGAACGCCCTATCAAATGATGTCATCAAATGAAGGTAGAGTTCTTACTTCCCCACTCTTTTTTTTTGGGGGGGGGGTCTGGTTGTGGGGCCTGAACTCTGTCCCTCAGCTCTTCAGCTCAAGGCTAGCGCTCTACCACTTGAGCCACAGTGCCACTTCCGGCTTTTTTCTTTTTGCTTATGTGGTGCTGAGGAATCGAACCAAGGGCCTTGAGCATGCAAGGCAAGCGCTCTACCACTGAGCCACCTTCCCAGCCCATTTCCCCATTCTTAAATTCACGCCATTGTAACGTCAGTGCAGTTGAATGTTATTCTGACCGGATACATACGGTGCTTTTATCCCTTTCACCTGGATTGAATTTGTCTAGGCAGGTATCACAAGTCATGCCCCTAACCCTTTTTTTTCCCACTGTTACCTTCAAAGTAGAGTCTTGCTTCTTGCCCAGGCATTGCCAGTGTGGGATCGACTATGTTAGGATTCGTTTTGTAGCTAGCATGACACATATGCACCGTCACTCTCACATGTGCCTTGAGAAGTCTTAGAAATTGTTCTCAGGCTGGCCTAGAACCAGCATTCTCTTGTTTTCAGACTCTCAAGTAGCTAAGCTTATACGTGTGAGCTACTGATGCCCAGATGACCATGTATATTTTTAGAGTTTTTTCTGTGATCATGAGTCCCATCACACCACCTTCCCTCCTTTTCTTGGCATTGACAGTGCAAGAACATAACTGACTGTCCTGCATTATTTTCAAGGGGAAATTAAACTTCAGATATAATAAAGCAAATAATAGTATAAAGCTTAGAAGTTATAGTTGAATGGACAAAGGGGAAAGATAGTGTTATGCTCTAAATTTATGGTACAACTCCTTTTGTGTTCGCATCACATGAAGTAAATAATTGAACATTCTTTATGTGTCACATGTCCGTAGCCAATCAGCAGCCAGGATTATTTGATATGTAATAATAGGGTTTATTTGCCAAAGAGCTCTAAGTAGAACTTACAGGATATAGGTGGCTATGTACTAGGATGCTGCTAGTGAGAATAGTTGTAGCAAAGAGAAAATTGGACTGGTATATTTAGCACTTTCAGATTTACTTTGAATTCTGACTCTAGAAATGTACAACCTTAGTTTTTCAGTTGTAGGTTTTAAAATGCTACATTTCATTTTTCTTCCGGTAGCATTTATCACTGTTTTTACTTTTGATGAGAGATTTAATGAGATGTAAAGGAAAAATTACTAGAGACCTAGGAGAGAAAGAATTTTATGAAAATGTCTTCAAGGTTCCCATCTCCACCAGTTTGCCTTTCACCAGAGCGGGCTGATTTAGGTTCTGTAACAAGCTCTTCTTGTTCACTGAATGAGCTAGACAATATTTCCCACCTCTTAAAGAAAATATCAGCTGACATCAATGAAATCAAAGGAATGAAAGCAGCAATTTTGACAGTGGAAGCAAATCTTTTTGATATAAATGTTAGAGTGTCCCAGAATGAAGCAAAAATTTCATCTTTGGAGGTTAAGATGAATGAATATTCGGCAACAACACCTGAATGCAACAGGCAGTTTGAAGATTTTCAAGAGGGAATTGACTTTGAATCACAACCAAGAGCTACTGGTGTAAAAATAATTGGCTTCCTTAGAGATATTGAGAAAGGTAAACTGCTTTGATCTTCATCCTGGCTATTGTGGTATAGAAGCAGCAAAATAGAGAAGTCTTCATTGGTTTGGGTTATAGAACCCAATTTATATGCCTTAGAAATTTAAAATTTATCAGGACAATATCCTGTTTAGTATAAACTAAAATATTTTGAGTGCTTTGTTGTTGCTTTGTGGTACTGGGGATTGAATTTAGGGCCTTATGTGAAACAAGCACTCTACATTCTGAATCATTTAAAGTTGGTGGGGTTTTTTTGTTTGTTTGGTTTTTGTTTTTGACCAGTACTGGGGCCCAAACTTAGGGCTTTGTGTTCTCACTTAGCTTTTTCACTCACGGCTGGTACCCTACCACTTCAGAAAAAAATAATTTGATATACCATTTTGTATCAAGTTTTCTGCCCTGACCTCAGTTTTATGATGCTTTGATCCTCTTTCCTCGGGCTCCCAGGTACCTAATTACTGGGATTATAGATATTTGTCCCAACACTAAGCTTCAAGTGATGTTTTGAAAAGATAGATGAGAATAGAGACGAAGCAGCAACTTGAATGTGAGAAAATAGCCTTCTTTGTGTGAAATTATTTTTAGATGTTTCATATTTTTCTATTTACATCTAGTGTTTGGATTGTAAGCATTTTTTTTGTAACCACAGGAATATATCTTGACTGAATGTCATATGATTTCCAGATCTGTTCTTGAAACTTGTTTTGGCAATGATAATAAAGGAATTCACCTTTTTTTGTACATACTGCCGAAGAGGAATTTAACAAACGTTTTAAAAAAAAATATTCTGTAGACGATCAAATCACATGTACCTTTTAAAATTTAAGCACCTTTTAATAAAATATGGTACTAGGCCCACTTACAAGTTTGTTCAGAATAAGCCGAGCCTGTCCTAGCAAAACCACACATGCTAGATATCCTCAAGCTGTCATGTAGCATCTTACTGAGACCTTAGCACTTACTTATCAAATGGGTACCTGATACCTGCTAAGCACTTTTTGGGACATAGAGAAAGAAGCGTGGCAGCATTCTATCCAAGTAGTTTACGAAGATAAACTTTGCTTCATCAATCTCATTAGGAATATTTTATAATATTAAGAACTTACATCTTTAAGAAATAATATTTTTGGGCTGGGAAGGTGGCTCAGTGGTAGGATCCTTGCCTTGCATGCATGAGGCCCTGGGTTCGATTCCTCAGCACCACATAAGCAAAAAAGAAAAAAACTGGAAGTGGCGCTGTGGCTCAAGTGGTAGAGTGCTAGTCTTGAGATGAAGTGCTGAGGGACAGTGCCCAGGCCCAGAGTTCAGGCCCCACGACCGGACCCCCCAAAAAATAATAATATTTGTACTCTATTTTTTGGGGGGGTGGTTGGTTGCGGGGCCTGAACTCTGGGCCTGGGCACTGTCCCTCAGTTCTTCAGCTCAAGGCTAGTGCTCTATCCACTTGAGCCATAGCACCACTTCCAGTTTTCCAGTGGTTTACTGGAGATGAGTGTCTCATGGACTTTCCTGCCCGGGCTGGCTTTGAACTGTAATCCTTAGATCTCAGCCTCCAGAGCAGTTAGGATTACAGGAGTGAGCCACCTGCGCTTAGCCTCATACTCTTATTATGAGAAATTTAAACAGTTACATTTGTGCCTCACTGAATAATAGGAACACTCTCAAATACAGCAGTGGGTGATTCTAGACTTGATTTTTATATCCTGCCCCCCCTCCCCCGTAGCGCTTTGGATAGCAGAATTCTGAGTGTCATACTTGTTCATTGTTCTTTTGCATTTATCTATGCCCATTGTTTGCCCTTCGGAATTCTCTGTCAAGGTTTGTTATCCTCCAGTACGTGGGAGTGGTAGTTCTGGTGAGTGTTCAGGTGACTGCAGAGGAACTCGGCAGGTTTGTCACACAGTGTCAACATAGCTCATGTCCCAAGGCCCGTGGCCTGTGAGATATTTCCTCCTGACTGTTTTGCCCTTCACTTCTCCTGCAGACTTACTTCTCTCCCAGGGAGAACTAGGGGTGTCCTCATTGCCATTGTTGGTTTAACCCTCAGTAGAACTTTTTATCTTGCAAGGATATTCCTGTGGTCTGTACATAGTATCATCGTGTTGTCGAAGCTTTATTTGTAAGGCTTTGCAGAAATGCTGATTTCTGAGGATCAGATGCTGGCGCTTTGTCTTCAGGCTCAGTGAGGTTTTGATTTGTGTTCTAGGAGCTCAGCAGAGGCAGTTGTTACCCCGACTGCACATCGACCCGGTCATGGCAGAAACGCTGGAACTTAGTCAAGGTAAGGAGGTTTTAAATTTCCACCATAATACAGCAGTTTTCCGTTGCCACCCACATTTGTACACCTCATTCAGTGCATCATGTGTCTCTCAGATCCTGCCCTAAGATGCCACACTAGCTCTCTGAAAATACTTGAGGGCCAGGAGATAAGGTTTGCATTCTCTCATGTTTATGATGTTCTTATTTTTTTTTTTTTTGCCTTATTTTGTTCTATTCATGCCATCCTTGTAGCCCTGGCTGCTTTCGCTTGCTCTCAGAACACTTAAGCCCTGATTTGCTTCTCTAGCCTGATCATAGCCATTGTTGCAAGCTGCTTCAATATTCACCTTACCCTCACTCTGACTTCACTTTAGGATCTTAGTGCAGAGGCCATACCTAGAACTTGTTCTAGAACTACTGTCACACTTGTTGGTCTCTCCTACCTCCGATACACATGCTATTGGGGCAGCTTCAGAACTGGGGTGAGTTCCATATTTATCTCTATCCTCAGTGCTCAGCCCCTGCCAGATGCATGTTCTGTAGCCTCCCAACCTCTAGCTCTGAATCCTCCTGCCTCAGCCTCCTGAGTGCTAGGATTAAAGTGTGAACCATCATACTAGGTACTTTATTCCTTTCTTGTTTCCCCCAAGTCTGCCCTTTGTTGGAGGCTCTGGTCTCTTGATTCCTTCTTCCCTGAATTTTCTTTTCCCTCAGCCAAGACTTAACAGTAGGTAGAGTCCCCAGCTGTTGTCTCAGATGGATGTGCTTTTCGGGCCTAAAGGATACCTGCAACAGAGGCCAAAGCCCTTCCCATCTGACGAGCTGATCCCGTGCTCCATCCCTCTGGCCACCTCATGCTGCTGCTCCCTTTAGCCTTGACTTTACCCTCCTTTACCTTCCAACATTCCATCCTGCTTTGGACATCATATTTGAGAAAGTTTGGGGGCTGCAGTCCATGTATGTTATGCTACTTCATCAGCTCTTGGGCATCTTTTATTTAGTTTTTCATTTTACTCTGTACATACAGCTTGAAGCATCAAGTAGTGGAAAGGCTTCTAAATGACCACATTCTGAAGTTCCTAATTCCTACCACGCCTTTATTTCTAAGGGCCCATCTCTTTCTGCATGGTTTGTTTTTTTTTAAAGCATACTCATTTTGCTTCATGTGTATGAAACTATTTCTCTGAGGATATTAAAGGTGGTTTTTGACTTTTTTTTTTCCCTTTTCCTCCTTGGTGCTGTTTTTTTCTCCAGGTTGGTTTTGGCTGTTGGGGTCCTTATTTTCTGTTGAAAGCTGACCTGGCAGGTTGAGTTCATGAATTGGGGCTGGAACATGGGAGGGTAGTTCCATATTTGAAGGTAGATCCTGTGGATTTATCGTGGCAGCCTGATGTCAGTACCTTAAGGCCTTTTCTCTCAGCCTGGTCAGCTCAGCAAAGCTCTTTCATGTACTATTCTGGTTGCCAGAGTTCAGATAACTCAATAGAGGAAGAGGGCTGGGAGAGGGCATGCATTATTAATGCAACATTCACTTAACACTCCCCTCCCCGTCTCACTGTGGATTTGGCTGAGCATGGCATCCCTTGTGAAGATAGTCCCTCTGTGTTGGTCTTCTCAAGAATCCTAAGCCTTACTTTTTCCAAGGGTGGATGTATAAAATGGATAAAGGTTATCAAGAATGCTGCCATTGTTTTTCTTAGACAGTAGGGAATTTATTGTCTGATATATTAGGAATGCTATTCAATAGTGACATTCGGGGCAGTTTTTCTTCCTGTGCTCTGCCGTCAGTGGATGTCTTTCTCAGGTTGATAGCAAGATGGTGGCAAAGTTCTGAGCATTGTGTCCAGTTGAGTGGAAGGAGGGGTATACATTGTTTGTGACTTTCCTAGAGGCAAAGCCTCTCCCCACACACCAGAGCTCCTGAAGCCTCCACCCACCCTAGAAGAATCTTCTTGTGTCTCATTGGTCAGACTTGGGAGATAACCCAGTGCAGGACACAGCTGCCTTTGTAACAGAAACGGTAATGGAATACATTTAGGTTATTCTGTTGTGGTACCTCACTATCAGAGGCCATGATGCTTTATTGCTGGCCTCTTAACAGTGATCAACAGGAAGCCCATCTCCAGTCATTCTGAAATCTTCATTGGAATGGTAGGGGTAGGTGTGTTAAGGATCAAAGGAAAGAAAATAGGTGAATGGACTTCAGGAAGGTTTCACTGCTTCTGTCACAGATCCTCTACTATACTTTTAAACTCTACTTCTCTTTATCCCCTCCATAGGCTTTGGAGAACCTTTTGCTCTGAGTTGTTTTGCTCCTTGCCTAGAACTCAGTTTTTACAGATTTACTGTTAGTTCCTAATCATGTTTTTCTTCCAAATCTATAGTTACTTTCTTTGGGAGGGGTATATGCTTTTTTTTTTTTTTTTAAATCTTGGGCTAGGTGCACTGGGTTATGCCTGTAATTCCAGCTTGTAGGAGGCAGATCCAGAGGATCAAGGTAGTGAGACCTGGTCCCAGCCGGGAAACTGGCCGTGTTGGCACACACCTGTTTCACGCTACAAGGAGGTAGGAAGATTGCAGTCTTGACCTGCCACTGGCAGAAGTGACATCCTGCCTGGAAAATCATGGAAACTCAAAGGGGCTGGAGGTACGCCTTTAATGGTATAGGGTCTGCCTGGCAGCTGCGACCCTCTTGATTGCTAAAACAAATTTTTATTGGAATTGGTGTAGCTCTTCAGGAAGGAACAGAGTGAATGCACGATTTTAACCTGCAGTCTGTCAAGGGATGGCGCCCTGCCCCTCGGTCTGGCTTCCTCATGATCCCGTTGTTGCTCTGAAGCTTACAGAAGTGGCAGGGCATGTGTGGCTGGAAAGCTGCTTTCAGTGCGTCCTTGGCTGGGTGCTGCGAGGTGTGACTGGCCCCCACGCTCCTGCGCTTTGCTCAGTCTCAGCCTCGGGCTGTCGGGATTTCACACTGTGTTCCTTCTCTGGCCAGCTCCTCTCTGCCCCTGCCCTGCTCCATGAGAGTAGCACTGTGAGCACACAGCTGAACACTGGCTTCACCTCTGCCCCTCATGTCTGTCCCCTTCCTGAGGACCAGATTCTGAGTGTCCACCGTCTTCCTACTGTGCAAGAGCCCCACAAAGACAGTGAAATTTGTCGTTGCTATCTTGTAAATCGGTTCTTCCCCTTTCTCCTATACACCTGTCAAGTTTCTGTTCTTCCTGCTCTCCCCCATCTCTTTCCCTTGCTGTCTGTCCTGCCTTCCTAGAGGGCACCTGCCCCTTCTTACAAGGTCATTGAAATGGCAGCTGCTGTGGAGCCCTGCAGAGAGGAGAAGGTGGAGATGTCCTCTCTCCCCCTCAGTGTGTTCGAGGGGGGATTCCAAGACATCATTTCTTTCCTAAAACCCAACTTAACCATGTCACTTCCCCCTTAGGAATCTCTTGGTTTCCAGTTACTTCTAGATTTGTTTCTCCACTTAACTTCTACAGTTCAAAGTATTGAGGCAAACAGGCTACTTCATTCCTTAGCTGCCGTGGCCACTCCCTGCCCAGCCCCCATCCTCCCAGTCACCCCATATTTCTCACCTTCCCTCAGGTGCCTGTGAAGGCCCGGCCTTTCTCCACGTGCTGGTAACTCTGCCCGAAGTGCTCTCTCTCCTCAGTAATTCCCGCTCAGATCTTTCATACCCACCTCAAGCTTTGACTCCTCAGCTGGAGAGTGGTTGCTTTGTACTCTGCCAACACTGTTCAGACCCTTTTTGGATCCTGGTGTTCAGGGATTGTGTGCACTTCTTTTCCTTTTTCTTTGTGTACCTGGCACAGTTGGGCTTAGTTGAGTAGATATTTGGTGAATGACTGTTCTCTGAATTTTGGTCCCTATGATTTACTTCTTATCCTTAAAAGAAACATTATGCTCACATATGAATAGGTCAGCAATATCTATTCTATGCTTTTAGGTTTATCATATTTTGAATTGTACTATGCAAACATGAATAAGGGACATTAAGTTTCCTAAATCCCCCCTGATTTTAGAAGAAGCTGTTTTTCCGTCAGTGTGTCTTGTTAACCTCCCAGCATATCGCATCACAAGCCTTCCTCTCCTCTAGTGCCGGATGAGGAAAGAACCACTTGAGTTCTTTGAAAAGCTGTTTGGAATGGACTTATAACCCTATATTCCTGTAGAGAATTAGTTATGATTTGCCTTGACCAGTAATTAAGAATATATAAAAGACTGACATTCTTCTCACATGTATGATGTTGGGAATGAAAGGTATATTCAAAAGTAAACATTTGTGGCCAATTTTTTTGGCTCAGATTACTATGACATGGAATCCATGGTCCATGCAGACACAAGATCATTTATTCTGAAGAAGCCAAAGCTGTCTGAGGAAATAGTAGTGGCACCAAACCAAGAGTCGGGGATGAAGACTGCAGATACCCTTCGGGTACTTTCAGGACACCTTATGCAGACACGGTAGATGGTTTATTTTTCTTGTGTAGTTAATTTATGTGATTAGATAGCTCAGGCCAACGCTAGTTCTCCGAGTCCCCTCCTCCCTGCCCTGGCTTGTAGTATTTTATTGGCTCATTAGCTAGGCCATGACTAGTTGGCTGATTATTTCTGTTGTTCAGAAATCCATTAAAATACAAATACAGATAAAAGCTCATTTGGTTTAGTAACTTGAGTAAACTAAAGCTTATGCACATTCATGAAATGGATTTTTGTGTGTGTGTGTGTGCCAGTCCCTGGGCTTGAAGTCTGGACCTGAGGTGCTGTCCCTGAACTTTTTGTGCTCAAGGATTGCATTCTGCTACTTGAGCCATGGCTCCATGTTTGACCTTTTTTTTTTTGGTGGTTTACTGGAGGTAAGAGTTTCACAGCAGAATTTTCTACTCAGGTTGGCTTCAAATCGTGATCCTCAGATCTCAGCCTCTTGAGTGGCTAGGATTACAGGTGTGAGCCTGGCTTCATGAAATGGAATTTTTTAAACCAGGTGACCAAAAGCAGGAAGTTTTCCTTAAGAGAGTTAGTGAATGGGGTTTGGGTGGTCCTTCCCAAAAGTGTTCAGTGCAGGAACACATATATGGATAAACACACAACTGTTAGCCAGTGTATTCTGCGTGTGCACACTAACTAATGTTTTGTTTGACTTCCATGTTGATCCCACGGGGATCGAATGGACAGCAGAGTCATGGTGGAGGGAGGTAGTCCTCAGTAAGTATGCCCTGCAGGGCCCCTGGCAGTGGGGCCGCAGTGGCTGGCCTGTGGCATTGTGTGGTGCCAGGAGTCCACTAGCACTCGACTGCAGATCCTACCAAGTCCTTTTCACTGAACCAGATGCAAAGGAGGGAGTCATAGTTCTGCTGAAGAATACTTTAGAGGCTTAGCATTTTGTGTTTGTTTCCCTAATTCTATGGTATTTTTTGTCTGTCTGGCAGAGATCTTGTACAACCAGATAAACCTGCAAGTCCCAAGTTTATAGTGACGCTGGATGGTGTCCCCAGCCCCCCAGGATACATGTCAGATCAAGAGGAGGACATGTGCTTTGAAGGAGTGAAACCCGTAAACCCAGCTGCAGCCTCTCACAAGGGACTCAGAGGGCTCCTCCACCCACAGCAGTTGATGAGCAGGCAGCTTGAGGACCCAGGTGGTAGCTTTTCCAACGGTGTGTTGAGAGCACAGACTTGCCCTGTTGAGCGTGCTGGCATTGTGAAGGCAGACTGCCTGTGTCTCTACTTGACTGTCGCTTTGAGGCCTTGCTTCTATTTACATTGAGTAATGTTCTTTTTTCTTCTTCCACACAAAACCAGCAGAGAAATTTCAGACTTTTTTCCTGTATCCACTTCACAGGTGGGCTGTTACTCTAGTGCTAACATGGAGTTCAGCCTTGGGATCAAAACTCCCTCTTAGTTATGCTTGCTGAAGGATGAACCGTCATCCTTGATGCCTTGGCTCCTTTATTTCCTTGAAGAACGGTCACTCTCCCCCCTGTTCCAGCACCTGCCTCTCAGTGGTTACCTTGGGAGGAAGGGGGCTTGGAGTGTTGATGCTTTTCCACCTCAGTCAGCTTTTGAATCTGGGGGGGGCTGCTTCCTGTGGAAGTGTAGAAAAGACCTTAAGTTGACATTAATATTGAAGGGGAATATTTAGAACCTTGTGCACTGATTATGAGGCTTCTAGGCAGAAGTGTGGGTGTCCAGGGAAACCCCCACCTTCCCATTCCTGGCAGTGTTTTGGAAAGCTCTTCAAAACCAGGGGAGGTTAATTACTTTTTTCATTAAAGCTTAAAAACGAGCAGATTCAGAGAAAACAGGTTTTGCAATCCCTCTGAGTAATCATCTTGGTAGGGTTATGGAAATGTTCTCAATACTGAGTTAAGTCACTGAAAATATCTAGACTTTGGGGGGGATGTGGAGCTAAGAAATTACAGCTACCGGGGCTGGGAAGGTGGCTCAGTGGTAGAGCACTTGCCTTGCATGCATGAGGCCCTGGGTTCGATTCCTCAGCACCACATAAGCAAAAAGAAAAAAAAGCCGGAAGTGGCGCTGTGGCTCAAGTGATAGAGCGTTAGCCTTGAGCTGAAGAGCTGAGGGACAGCGCCCAGACCCAGAGTTCAGGCCCCACGACCAGACCCAAAAAAAAAAAAAGAAAGAAATTACAGCTACCTGTCAGTGCTTTTCCCTGTAAATCAGTGACCCTGTCTAGTTTTAGTTTTTGGAGGAACTTGGAAATCTGACCCTATCAACAGGAAATACAATTAAAACAACAGAGCAGTAATAGGCCTTGCAGATTTCTTTTTTTTTTTTTTCATTTTTGGAGGTACTAGAGTTGACGCCAGGGCCTTGTACTTGTTAGGTAATCACTACTACCTGAGCCTTTTTTGCCTTCGTTATTTTATTGTCAAGGTGGCATACAGAGAGGTTGTAGCTACATAAGGTAATGAGTACATTTCTTGATGGACGTTTATTGCCCCTTCCCTCATTTTTCTCCCAACCCCCCCCCACCCCAGTATCTCTTCCCTCCCAAGGTGTAAAGTTCATTGCCTTTTGTTTTTTGTTTTGTCAGTTGTGGGGCTTGAACTCTTGAGCCTGGGCACTATCTATCCCTCAGCTCTTCAGCTCAAGACGAGCGCTCTACTGCTTGAGCCACAGCACCACTTCTGTATTTCTAGTGGTTTATTGGAGACAAAGAATCTCACAGACTTTCCTGCTTTCCTGCCCGGGCTGGCTTTGAACCATGATCCTCAGATCTCAGCCTCCTAAGTAGCTAGGATTATAGGTGTGAGCCACCGGCGCCCAGCTGCCTTTGTTATTTTTTACGTAGGGTTTTACATTTGTTTGGTTCTTCTTGGATCAGAATCTTCCATTTTACACTTCCTATGTAACTCTGATGACAAATACTGCCACCACACCATCCAGATTTTATTGGCTGAAATGAGGTCTCGAGGACTTGGTGCCAAAGCTGACCTTAAGCCAGACTGACTTTGAACCTCAATCCTCCGGATTGCTGCCTCACTAGTAGTTAGGAATACAAGTGAACCATGAATGCCTGCTGGCAGTGCAGATTTCTTGACCCCCCTTCTCTGTTTTGTTTAAAATAAGGAAATTAAGGTGTTCTTGCTACTCTTGCCTTTTGTTTTGATGGCTTAATACTTGGGTCTGTTATGATTCAAGTTGGTGTAAAGGTTGGTGTCTATGTCGAGCTGTGTTGGTGGGTGTGTAATGTTATGTCACAACTCTTGTGTAGGTTGCGTAGTGCTGTGGTCCTTGTGGAGACTGCGGGATGAGCATGCGCCTCCTCTTCCTGTCTTGTGCTGTTTCGCTGCTGAGTCATTGCTGCGTCTCGCAGCCTCTGTCCCTGCCTCTTCCACAGCACACAGGGAGCTGCCATTGGTTTGCTTTGGAGTTGGCATTTTGGAGATGCTTCAAAATGTTGCTAACAGCAATCTCTATCTTAAGTCACCTCCACTGGCCATTATTGTATGGAAGTAAACATCTGATGAAGTAAAGTATTAGTTAGGACACTAACAGGTGTGAGCTTGAACTTGTATCGATGGTTTATCAATCCCATTGCACGGAGAGTTGTTTCTTATATTTAGTTAAGGGTGTGTGTGTGTGTGTGTGTGTGTGTGTTTGTGTGTGTGTGTGTTTGTGTGTGTATGTTGGGGGGTGGTCCTGGGGCACTAGTCCACTCAGGGTCCACACACTGTCCCTGAGTTTTTGTTCAAGGCTGGCACTTTATCACTTGAGCCACAGCTTCCACTTCTAGGTTTTTGGTGGTGAACTGAAAGTAATAATTTCACAGACTTACTTTCCTGCCTCAGTTGGCTTTGAACCATGAGTCTTAGTTCTCAGCATCCTGAGTAGTGCCATAAGCTCTGGTGTTTTTAGAGAAAAATTATGTGTCATGCATAGTCTTAATAGTTATCTGATGCTGTTCATTTTGGGGCCTTCTGACAGGATTTGTGTGTCACAATGTGTAGGGAGGACAGAAGTTGTGTTACTAGAATAGTGGGTTAGATTATGATCTGGTTTGTGTTCTTCCATTTAATCATCTTCTGAAGTAGAAGAGGATCTAGCCTTGTACTGAGGGAGAAGCTTAAGTTGAAAGATGTTAAACATCCTTTCGTGAAGTGTCCAAGCAGCTGAGGTGAAGAAGAGCCAGATTACTCTGCCTTACCCTTGTGCAGGAGGATTTAAAGAACATGGCTGAAGTGATGCTTTTCTCCACATGTAATACACAGCACTCATTACCCACAATGCATAACACCTCTGATGCCATTTTTTTTTTAATAACTAGGGTGTCTCAGCTATAGTTTTGTTTTATTCAGTGTTTTAAAAAGTTAAACTAGTTGTCAAAATTCAAAATATATTTGTGGTTTTTTAAATACTAAAACAGAAGATGTGGCAATACTGACCCCACTTTCCTGTCCTGGTTGCCAGTGGAATTGGGTGTGTGTGTGAGTGCCGAGGCGTGAGCTCTGGAAGTGCTCGTGTGGTTGCTTCCGGGGTTACTGTTCCCCACCCAGCCAGACCTGCTCTGTGGGATGACCTGCGTGACCTCTGTAGGCAGCAGCATTTAAGCAAAGATGTCTTCCTCTTTTGACACCATTGTATGTTTGGCACTGGACTTGTGTGAGAATTCGTTCTTTTCTTCCTAAGTGTTTTCAGTTTCCTTTAACTTTACTGGCTTCCTTTTGCCATCCTTCCTTTTACTTTCATGTTCTGAAATGATAGGTTTAGAATTCTTGGTGAAAACCTAGGCCAAAGGTGCAGAATCACTTGATTTCCTTTTTATATGAGAACTTTGTAATATGGAATACTGTATTACTAGAGTTTACCAGATTATCTGGCTCATTTATTTTTGTAGGTTGTAAGGGTGTTTGGGGGAGGAATTTATTAAAGGGTCTGTACTGAATTGATCATAATGAGATGTTTTGAATCTTTTCCACATCATAGCTGAGATGAGTGAACTGAGTATGGCGCAGAAGCCAGAAAAGCTGTTGGAACGCTGCAAGTATTGGCCGGCTTGTAAAAACGGGGACGAGTGCGTGTACCATCACCCTGTCGCGCCTTGCAAGTGAGTAGTAGCACATTGGTGCTGGTGTTTGTTAACGACTTCCTTCCCTCCCTCCCCTCCCACTCCTCCCTCCCTCCCTCCTTTCCTTTTGTCATTCATGGGGCTTAAACTCTGAACCTAGGCGCTGTCTCTGAGCACCTAGCTCGAGGCGAGCACTCTACCACTTGAGCTACAGTGCCACTTCTGGTTTTCTGGTGGTTAATTGGAGATTAAAGTCTCACGGACTTTCCTGCCTGCCCAGGCTGGCTTTGAGCCGTAATCCTCAGATCTCGGCCTCCTGAGTAGCTAGGATTATAGGTGTGAGCCACCGGCACCCGTTGCAACTTCACTTCTGTATTGAAGAGCTTGTAGTTTCTTTAGGTAAGTTTGAGTTGGTGTGTATGTGCATGAATAGGAGGTTTCATTATTATTCATATCATGTGATACTGTGGAATGTCTAGTGTCTTGGGGACTGGGTACATACATTAAAGGAGCTAGATGTAAATATACCACTTAGTGACATTTTGTTCACCTGTCAAGTTTTTCTGAGGGGCATTGGGGAAAGTTGCCAGTAATAAAAAAGTATCCTAGACTTAGGTTAAAGTTTTCCTGCTGAATGTAATGAGCTTTGTGAGGATTGCAAGTTAAGGTTATCTCAGGTAAAAGAAAGACCCTCTCTCAGCAAACTGTGTGTAGTGACACACACCTGTCATCTCAGCTACTTGGAAGTCAGAGAGAGAGGAGAATTATGGTCTAACGCTAGCCTGGGGAAAACCAGTACTTGTCCCCGAAGAACTCAAAGCAGAAGGACTGGGACATGGCTCAAGTGGTACCTTGCTTGGTTAGCAAGGATGTCCTTCATGCTGGGTCAGTGCTCTTTCATTGAGCTACATACTTAGCCCATTACTTCTCCACTGGCGCTTTATCATTCTACCCATGCTTTCAGAACCTCGGCATTTCTCAAAATAATTTGTAATGAAGTTATAAGAAGCCCCCCTATAGAACACTGATAATGCATTGACAATATTACATATGAATAATATGCTTTTTTGTTTTTAGAGCCTTCCCCAATTGTAAATTTGCTGAAAAATGTTTGTTTGTTCATCCAAATTGTAAATATGACGCTAAGTGCACTAAGCCAGACTGCCCCTTCACGCACCTGAGCAGAAGAGCGCCAGTGCTGCCCCCAAAGCCAGGTGAGTGGCCGCCTACACAGCAGGGGAGAGAGGGTAAAATGACTGGAAATGGAAGCCAACGCAAAAAAGGAGCAGCTGTAATTTGACAAAGAACAAGTATACCCAGTGTATAAAGTCATGAATGCATAAAATTTATTATTCTTAGTGATTCTCATCACCTTAAAAATACACTAGACTACATTAAATTGTATTTTGCCAATAGCTTTAATCAGTGTTTTAATTCTGATTTTTGTTTGTAGTTACAACACCATCACCATCCTCTAGTGGTCAGCTCTGCCGTTACTTTCCAGCTTGTAAGAAAATGGAGTGTCCTTTCTATCATCCAAAAGTAAGAACCTTCATTTTCCAAAAAATTGCTTCAGTGGTATGTCTTACTCTAAAGTAGATGAGAAATCGGCTGTCTTGCCTTTTTGTTTTCCTTCTCAGTTACACTTTTTTTTTTCTTTTTTTTGTTGGTCGTGGGGCCTGAACTCTGCGTCTGGGAGCTGTCCCTCAGCTCTTCAGCTCAAGGCTAGTGATCTACCACTTGAGTGACAGGACCACTTCTGGCTTTTTCTGCTTATGTGGTGCTGAGGAATGGAACCCAGGGCCTCATGCATGCAAGGCAGGCACTCTACCACTGAGCCACCTTCCCAGCCCTCAGTTTCACTTTCTTAAGGATCTTTTTATCAGCTGGGTGCTGGTAGCTCAAGCCTGTAATCCTAGCTACTCAGGAGACCGAGATCTGAGGATTGCAGTTCAAAGTGAGCCCAGGCAGGAAAGTCCCTGAGACGCCAATATACCACCAGAAAATGGAAGTGGCACTATATAATAGTCCCTAAGTAGAAAAGCTGCCTGGGTTGGCTTTGAACCGTGAGCCACCAGTGCTCGGCTTCACAGTAGTAGATTAACCTCAAGGAATGAGTTCTACTTGACTCATTATCCGTGTTCATCTGAGCATTTGTGTGTGTGTATATGTCATGCATGCACACCAGTTATCCTGGACTTTAAACACAAAGCCTGGGCACTGTCAAGTCTTCAGTGTTTCTGCTCAAGGCTAACACTCTACCACTTGAGCCACAATTCCACTTTTGACTTTTTGCTGATTAGTTGTAGATAAAGAGTCTCCCAGACATTCTTACCTGTGTTGGCTTTGACTTACAATGCTCAGATCTTGCCAACTGAATAGTTAGGATTATAGGCCTGAGCCACTAGCACCTGGCTTGGCTGGGGGTGGGGCGGGGGGTGTTGTTTTTTTTTTTTTACCTCTTGCTAGACCAGAATTGGGATAAAGAAATCCAATGTCATACAAATTGTATTAGTTTTGCTTGTGTGTGAACCATCAACTGATGTATCTAGATCCAGCCAGTGAGCTTCACCCTCTTTAAATAGCAGCCTGAAGGCAGTTTTACCAGCTGTACTTGGGCAAAAAGAAACTCTGTGAGGAGTGAGGGATATTAGACAGACTGCAGCGATGATTGCTACACTGATCAGAAGAAGCTTGCAGTGATACTAAAGTAATACTAAAGAATCACCTATGAGTTTTGGCCTTTGTTCTGTGTTCCCAGAGAAAGTTCTTATTTTTCAAGGCCTTAATAGTATTAAAATGGAGGTTTCTTTGTTGGTTAATTAGGGTGGCTTAAGTACTGTCATATCCAGTTATTGTAGGTTCATTTGTGTTAATCTTGCAAATGTGGCTGAAAATCTATTGTTTGTTCAGCACTGTAGATTTAACACTCAGTGCACAAGACCGGACTGCACATTTTATCATCCCACCATTGCTGTACCACCAAGACATGCCTTGAAGTGGATTCGACCACAAACTAGGTACTTTAAATGACTGTTCCTCATTTCATGTCTTTTGCAACTACAGAATATAACTTCTTAAATGCATAAACACACAAATGGGGGGGGTATTGTACTCTCGTTTTGATTCTTTCCCTCCTGCATGCTGTTAGTCTAGTGTCCTTCAGTTAAAAGTGCCCCTCCCCATTTGTTTACTAGTTTGGGAGTATGAATGGCTCATTTTCTCTAGGCTTGCACGCTCATGCCTGGAACTCCACCACTTGAGCCACATCCAATGCCAGCATTTTCCTAGTTACTTAAGAGACTGACTTTTCTGCCTAGACTGGTTTCCTGAATAGCTAGGATTACAGGTGTGAGCCATCAGTGCCAGGCTGATTACTTTTAATCTGTATCTCCTTAGATCCGATTTCTTAGATCAGGTTTCTTTACCTTCTGACCATACACTGAAAGCATTCTAAGTCATCAGGAGTGTGTGTGATGTATGCTTATGCCACCGTTTACAAACTTCAAACCAGTTTTCTGAGAAGAAATTAGTGACTAAGAATTTTAAGTTTCAATATATTTTAGTGTGTTTTGTATGAATTTCATTATCTGCCTTATATACAAAATAATTTCTTCTTTTGTTTATTCAGCGAATGACACCCAGTCTTAGCTGGCAGAAGATCGTGCAGTTTGATGAAAGACTATTGAACTTGTCAAATCTTTGAAGCTTGGAATATATTGCTATCATAATACGAAGTTTATTGCCTATTTGAAGTGTCTAATTTTTCAAGTTTGTAAGTTTATTAAGTGATTTTAACATTGGGGTTTTTGTTGTTGCTATTTTATTTTTACAGTGAAAAGGCAGTTTGGGAACAGCTCTATTGCTATTAAACAGCATTTGCAGTGGCATATCTTTGACAGCACTGCAGTTGGAGCAGAACTGTCAGGAGGCCAGTGTCCTGAAAGTTTAAATTAGTGCTTCCCCAAAGAGCATGTGTTTGTAATGAGGGGCCAGAGGTACTGTGAGGCAGCTTAAAGTAGCCGTTCAAATCTGCTTTTAATTGTTAAATGAACACACTTAGAAAAGCATGATAATAACAGCCACGTGGTCACTACTTTGGTAGTATGATTCCCTTGCCTTCTGTGAATGATGTGGCATGTAGGGTGAAAACAAGTACAAAAGATATAAACAGCTCCTTAAAATGATTTCATTTACTGTTAACATACTTTTAAAATAAATTTTTTTGGGGACTACATTATCACAAAATGATAGGAAAGTTTTTACAAGTATATACATAAAGTACCAGAAAACAGACTTTAAACTCACAAGATTATATACATATATATATATTCCCACATTCTGAAAAATAACATACTCAGAAATAAGTCTACCGAAAATATACTTAGTTATTACCGAAGATAATTTTTGAAATGTAAAAACTAGATTTAAGTAGTATATTTTAAATGACAGAACTATATAATTATAGAGCGCTCAGATGGGTAAATACAGAATTCAACAAAACTTGGCCTACTGTATTGATGATGGAGTTTTTGTGTGTTTGGTTTTTATAATTGTTAAGGCAAGAAGTGTCATGTTTGAAAATTAATTAACATGGAAAACTGATTTCAAAGACTCAATGTATATATAGTACTTTTCAAAATTAAAAGCTTTATGAAGTGGTTAGTAAAGGGTGCATTACTAGAAAAGGAATTATAGACTCTCAAATATTTTCAGGACCAAATTACACTGTAAAAATTTTAAAAGTTAACTGATTAGCACATAGTCATATGCACAAAAGATGGATAATAAACACTGTGAAAGTTCATGTTTAAGATTGTAAGCCAGCCTTCTGCTGTTGGAATCATTATTCTTTCCCTTGGAAATAAAAGAATCCACTTGAACTTGGTTGTACCATCCCCAAAGTAAACACTCAAGACCAAAGACCAAAGGCAACAAACACACAGGGCCTGCCCTAAAGCTGCTGTGTTTAGGCATAAGTGAAATGACAGTTCTACTTCATTCTGAGTGTATGTTTAAGGCATGTTTTCATTGTAGTTTTAAGATGTGTTGCATCTTTGCATAAGAAATTTGTTTTAAAATGTTTCTATTTCTGAAAATACAATTTTTTATTTATAAATGATTCATAGTGATGTTCTCATAATTCCACACAAAATGGGGAACAAGGGCTTATGTTCAGTTTTTCTTATAAGGAAGCCTCATTCTACAATCTGATTGTACTTTACCATTTCATAAATTTTTATCTTTCATTTGCTGTGGGTTTATGAAAAGCTAAAGTTGGCCCTAAAACATTTCTTGGCTTTTTCTAAATTCAACCATCATAAAGAGGACAGGTTGGGTGTGGCTGCTGATTATGAAATGAGAGTGCGTAGTGTGTTTTGGCATGCATTTATAAATACATACAACTATGAAATGAATTGGGGGCTGGTTATATATAGCCCAAGTGGTGGAGAGCTTGCCCAGCTAACTGGAGGCTCTGGGTTCAGTCGCCAGCCCTGGATTCAATGGGGATGAAGTGGACACACAATAGTCAGACTCAACTGTAAAATGACCACTAGTATCAGATTAGAAATCAGGAATTTAGTGAAGAAAAAAAAATTCTCTAGGTTAAGAAAAGTAGGGCAGATTTTACATGGTTTGTGGCCTTTTTTCATCTTCCTATAGTTGATGGCTAATAATAGGTGTTCACATAAGGTGACTTTACAGTCAACAGGGACCTTCAGTCATGAAACTGACCACAGCAATGGTTAAGTCTGGTTTGAAGGGCAAAATGCAATGTAAGTAGCTTTATGTTTATAGTTTAGTTGCTTAAGGTTTTACCTACAGTAGAACTGACATTTCTCTGTAGCCAAAAGCTGGCTAACTTGAGAGAGAATTTATAACTTACAGGAGGCTCAAATTTGGAGTAGTAATTCTCATTTTTATAGAAGAGTTTTAACTTCTGTCTACTACATGGTAAAACAGGTTGAACAGAAATTAATACATTCTTTTTTTTCTAAAATTTGACCTAATGTAGGAGAATCCTTTCATGTGCATGATAATAAGTCTAGTGTCTAGCCTCCATCAGTATTCAAAATGAGGCCATTCAGCTTTAAAGTGACCAGGGTGAGTCACCGCGGAGATTTCTATAATGTTAAATGCATCATTTTGCTTTTTATTTTCAGAGTGTGACCATAGAAAGTGAAATCTTCATGTGTCTTGTACAGCAAAAAGATTCTAAATGCCTGAGGGAGGGGAACCTATTAGGCTACAAATATAACTAATAAAGTAAAAATTGATAGGACAGGAGAGCAACTTCAACTTCTTCATACTTAAAAAAATATATATTTCTGAAAACAGCAGTTCATGTAATCTTTAATCTTCAGGAAACTACAGGTAGACTAAAAAGAGCAATGTCCTGGATGGTATTGATCTTTGGCAGCATTTGAAGTGAAAGTAATCTCCCCCACCCCCCATGTACCCGATTCATTCATTTTGGAAACTAGTCTGTGGGGTGGCATATTTGCACCTAAACGAATTTTACAATAGAAAAAAGAATATAAAATTTTGTACCAAGACTTAAGTTGTATAATGTGCAAACTTAACTTTTGTTTACATGATAAATGTTTACATATTAGACCACACTTAAGTATGCAGTATCCATAAATACATTGCTGAGAACTTAACAAAACTGTACACCACTGGAAATGTGTGTTCATCATACTATTCCATTAATGAGGCTATAAGTATGCTTTCATATTTCATAAAGATGGCTTCTGATTCATTGCTCAAAAGTGAAAATATAACAGGTATATATTACTAATTTTGGATCTGTTTCTGAATTCAAATAGCAAGAAGTGTCCTTTATAAAGATTTCACTGGGCGCCAGTGGCTCACACCTATAATCCTAGCTACTCAGAGGCTGAGATCTGAGGATCATGGTTCAAAGCCAGCCTGGGCAGGAAAGTCAGTGAGACTCTTTATCTCCAATAAACCACCAGAAAACCAGAAGTGGTGCTGTGGCTCAAATGGCAGAGGACTCTCCTTGAGCTGAAGAGCCGAGGGACAGCGCCCAGGCCCAGAGTTTAGGCCCCATGACCAACAACAAAAAAAGATTTCATTAGTTTGTAAAGAACATTATATTTTCCCAGAAAGCTTTTGTCCCTTTCCTTAGGGAAAACGTTTGTCTTAAAAACAGTGGTCAATCCTTGTGGTGGGAGAACCTTTTCTTCTACTATGAGCCTATTATTCATTCATTCATTTATGGTACTGACGGTTTGAACTCAGGACCTCCTGCTTGCTAGGCAGGCTGTCTCCCACTTCAGTTGCATCTCTTGCCCACCATCTGAACATTATGACACTACAGAGCCATCCTAAACGACGAATGCAGGCGGAGAGCCGCAGGCAGTGTACCCCCAGTGGTTCTGTGGGCCTTATGTAGCCTGACATAGATGGGGGGAACCTTATCTTGCAAACCACACCTGCAAGATACTAATGGTTTTTCTTAAAAGAAATTCAAGAATAAAAGATTTCATGGGGCAAGAAACCTTGAAAATAAAGTGCTAAAGAGAAACAGAAAAGATGAAAAATGTGCAAGTTGTAAAGCTTTTTCTTTTGAGATGTGGTCTCTATGTAAGCCTACACTGATCTCAAGCTTGCAGTCCTCCTGCCTCAGTCTCCTGAGTGCCAAGATTAGAGGCATGCACCAACACAGGCGTGCTTCGTCCTGGCTGGTATGTCACAGCTGTACACAATCAAAGAGGTCTCTCACCATGATATCCAGTCCTTCCTTGAAAGACTTATGTGGCAGTGCATGGATTATGGATAGGAACATAAACGTTTTTTCTACCGCTGTGATGATTCTGGGCAGTCCTCCCTGTTACAGTCTTCAGTTAGCACCACGACCATGAAGAGTTTGGATTTGGTTGTTTTTTTTTCCTTCTGTAATTCTGGTCTCTCAAAATGGTTAATTTGTATAGTCTTCTCAACATCCGTATCTTTCAGTGAGGCATATGTATACATTTCCAGACAAATAAACTGCATCAGAAAAAAATATTGCAGGAAATTCATTACATTTCGGCATTTGTCAGAACAGTTGAATGTCTTCAGTTGAGTTCTCAAATCATACATGTGTGCCAGGCATGGTGGCATCTATCTGCAATGCTAGCATTTGGGAGGCTAAGCAAGATCCACAAGTTTGAGGCTACAAAGTGAGCCCTTTCTTTAAAAAAAAGCCTGCTGTAAAAGTGTTTGCCTAATAGGTGCAAGGCTCTGGATTTGATCCCCAGCATTGAAGAGTGATGTGTAACACTTCATTAACTCATGAGGAAGCTTAGGGCTCTAGAGTCTTTAACTATACTACCTCCAAGTAGTGTTGAGGTCATTAGCCAGAGCTTAGAGAAACTGTTGTACTAAGTTGCTTAGCTAATAAACAAAGCGTTCTGCTCTTGTGAAAGTTACTGACCTGCAGTCATCACCTCCAGCACTGACAACATGGCGGTCACCACTGGTAAATCGAATGTTTGTCACATGGGATGAATGACCCAGGAACCTTTTGTGCTTTGCCTAAAACAACAATGATATACTTCAGGACATCGGATGCACACAAAGCTGTCAGAGCTATGGAGAAAGGGAGTTTGGATCACAGCCAATGATTAAAATGCTTTTCAGGGTTAATACATCTGCATATAACACAAAAACCAGGTCACGTGGGCAGTCCTAGGAAAGTCCGTTCTAAGGAAAAGCATTTGAAATTTGGATAATTATAGGTTTGGTAAAAGGATAAAGCTTATCAGCTTTATTCAAGCATTATTACTTGGAGTGAGGAATATGTTTCTAATAGGTTTTATTTTCATGGTGTAGATTTTGGAAGCAAACGTTTTAAACCAGGACAAAACATGCTGTTAAGTTTGAGGGGGAAATATTAATGAGTGGTCACTTAAGTTAGAGGTAAAGTGATAAACACAAGCTTACAAATTTTTCTGGACATGGGAAGTCAAATAACTTAACCATGCCGAAGTCGTCCCCTGTGACAAGGCTGATTCCGGAATGAGACACACACGCACAGTTGACATCGGCTTTCTCAGCGTGTCTGGACCAGATTCCCATAACTTCATCTCCTAGAATACTGGAAGGAAAGAGAAAACCCACCCCACTGAACACTGACATCTTTGCCATTCTACAGAGTAATTTGCCAAATAGAGCAAGTGAATGAGGTCATATTGGAGGCCTGAGTTTTATTTTTATCTGGGTATTAAGTAGAATTTTCTAACTTAAGGATTTAAGGGGTTAAATTATCCTTTAAAAATTGAGCTCATTCCTTTTTTTTTTGGGGGGGGGGTCATGGGGCTTGAACTCTGGGCCTGGGTGCTGTCCCTCAGCTCTTCGGCTCAAGGTGAGCACTCTACCACTTTGAGCCACAGTGCCACTTTCGGTTTTTTGTTGGTTAAATGGAGATAAGTGTCTCATGGACTTTCCTGCCTGGGCTGGCTTTGACCCGTGATCCTCAAATCTCAGCCTCCTGAGTAGCTAGGATTACAGATGTGAGCCACTGGCACCCGGCTAGATTATTCCTATTATTTCTCTAAAGACTACAGAAGGACTGGAGGTTTGACTCAAGTGGTAGAGCACCTTCCTAGTTAGCATGAGGCCCTAAGTTCAAATTCTACAGTGCTACCTATCCCAAAAGTCTCCTCCCAGGATTTGATGGCACTTCTCACTAAGATGGATATAAAGGGCTGACCTGTCCTGCAGCTAAGTAAATTTGAGCAAATTTAAAAGCAAATTTAATTTCTAACATTCACAACATCTTTCTGGTATGTTTTTATAGCCTGTTCTTAAGTATTTAGAAAAATACTACTGTATATAACTTGGATTCTTTTATGAGGATACCTTTATAGTAAGGCACAGAGACTGATAAAACCCAGTAAAATCATTAGAGTCCCAGAATGAACATAATGGCAGAATTCAAGATACAGTAACAAAAAAGTGCTATTCCCTAGTGGAATTTCCCAATTATTCTGACTTAAAAAGCTGCTGCTGCTGCCTGAGTGTGTGTTTACCTGGTCCATGTAGCCCAAGTGATTCTGTCAATGGCAGCGTGATCCAGGAGATGTTTTCCTGAAGGCACTTCATAGACATGTCGTTTATAGCAGCCACTAGAAACCTTTTACCGCATAAAAACAGGACAAGAATTCCATTAGCAAAATCCACAAGGCGTTTCTGAAATACTAGAAAATGCAGTTTGGTTTACATGTCTAATGTTGAAGAAAGCAGTATCAATATAAAAACAAACTGGGGTGCTGGTGGCTCACGCCTGTAATTCTAGCTACTCAGGAGGCTGAGATCTGAGGATCACGGTTCAAAGCCTGGACAAGAAAAGCCTGTAAGACTTATCTTCAGTTAACCACCAGAAAACTGGAAGTGGTGCTGTGGCTCAAAGTGGTTGAGTGCTTGCCTTGAGCTGAAGAGCTCAGGGACAGCATCACGGTAAATCAGATCTCAGGCTGTACATGAGGGCTCCAGGTAATGAGATTTGTATTTGGAACTGATGCTGTAGTCACACCAAGAGTGTGTGGAAGAGTTCTCGGTTAAAAATGTTAATTTACTTCACTATGGTGAGGTAGTGAATACATGTGGAACATCCATTCCTTAAATGTACACCACATTTTTTAAAATTGTATTACAGGATTAATATAGAAAGAACAGTAAATGCACAAGCTAAAACACACAGAACTTGGGCAGCAAATATATTCACTGAGTTTCTCTTGTAACCTGGTGCAGTGCTCTACCTGGAGAAATCTGCTATCTGCAGAAAAGTCCATCTGAATGACAAAGCTTGGAATGTCTTTGCAGTAGCCAACTCTGTTCAGGGTGGGACCCAGTGTGAGGTCATAGAAATCCACTGAGTTATCACTGGAACCCACTGCCAGGTACTGGGAATCTGGACTAAATCTGAATACACAACAAGAAATAAAGAGGCCATTAGACCACATGCAATAGTTTAAAACCTGACATCAGTGACTTTTCCTATTACATAGTCTTTGAAAAAAATGTGTGCCATGGATTCCAATTTATTTGGAAAACTGATCATGTATACAGAGTACATGTGTACATGGAATAGTTTTGCATTTTACCTCAATTTAAAATATCTTCCAATTCCTTAAAAAAAAAAAATAGGGCTGGGAATGTGCCTTTTTGGTAGAGTGCTTGCCTAGCATGCACAGTGCCCTGGATTCAATTCCTCAGCAACACATAAACAGAAGCCAGAAGTGGCACTGTGGCTCAAATGGTAGAGTGCTAGCCTTGAGCAAAAAGAGCTGAGAGACAGCTCAGGCCCCGAGTTCAAGCCCCAGGACTGGCAAACAACAACAAAAGCCAGTAACATTCCGGAAATAATAACATACTTAAAACTAAGATGGGTAAACGAATGAAACCTGTCTTATTCGTAAAAGAGCAATCCTAGTCACCTCAAGTTACTAGAGCCCAGAAGTTACCCAAAGCCTGGAAGAGCTTGTGCTGGTGAGATGGGATTTGCCCACCAGTCTTGAGAAGCAGTATGGACAAAGCCAGTCTGGATGAAAGTATGACCAGGAGTCCTTAGGGACATGGAGCGCTTCTAAGGAAGTTTCCCTCACCAAAGGAGTTTACAGCCCTTTTCACAGACCTGGATCCACCTGATCATGGAGAAGTCCTGGTGGCTGGGTGCTACTGTTAAAGTACACCTAAGTACTGTGGAGCAAATTTAAGCCTCAAGACCGGTTCAAGATAATTCTGATTTTGGGACATAGATGTTCAGGGACTCCAGAGAATATATGATCATAGAGACTCAGAGCATAGACCTGGAAGCCTCACAGAGGTGATGTTTTTCCAACTTCTGTAGGGCTGTGGTAGGGGGTGCTGCTGGCAGCGCATTTAAGGGGAATCCAGAGTGCCCCATACCAAGCACCCAAGTCAAGGAGAGATCAGTGTACAAACAGCCACAGGTCATTTCTGTTGTTTTTGTTGTTGGTCGTGGGGCCTGAACTCTTCAGCTCAAGGCTAGCATTCTACCAGTTGAGCCACAGCGCCACTTCTGGCTTTTTCTGCTTATGTGGTGCTGAGGAATCAAACCCAGGGCCTCATGCATGCAAGGCAAGCACTCTACCACTGAGCCACCTTCCCAGCCCAGGAATACATTTCTTTTTGAACACATTACCCCTTCCCTTGCTCTATTTGGGTGTCTAAATTGTTTAAAAAATGTATTCTTTTGTAGTATTGAGCCTTGGACTGTGCCTCAAGTTTGCTAGATAGGCGTTCTCTATTATTTTGGCCATTTCCCCTATTTAAAAGATGTAAATAAGCTTTTCAAATATTGGCTAGGTCATTATAGGCTAAAATTTTTTATTTTATTTTTGCTAAGATATTCAGAGGGTTTTTAACATGAATGCTAGTACTTCTATTGTAGAACAGTCACAGACATGCAGGTAAGACATTATAGGTTCAATGGTTTAGCACATTTAGTACTTAAGTTGCTTAATAAGCACAAGATGCCAGCTTTGGTACAGTACATTATCAATCATTTTCTGTTCTATTCCATTTGTTGACTAACCTGATATCATGGATGGTACATCGTCTGTCTCTCTTTTTGCCCCATATCTTTAGAGAGGTCACCAGTAAAATAATAAATTCTCCATTTTTCATCCCAATAGCCACCATGTCCCCTTCAGGACTATAGCACACTGTACGAGCAGCATGTCCCAGGTTCACTTTGTTTAACATCTTCTGCATACAAAGCAAAATAATAGTAGAAAACTACACTAAGTAAATACAGACAGAACCAAACTTTCCCCAAACCACAACATAATTCTTTTTTTTTTGGATCTGGTTGTGGGGCCTGAACTCTGGGCCTGGGCGCTGTCTCTCAGCTCTTCAGCTCAAGGCTAGCGCTCTATCACTTGAGCCACAGTGCCACTTCTGGCTTTTTTCTTTTTTCTTATGTGGTTGGTGCTAAGGAATCGAACCCAGGGCCTCATGCATGCAAGGCAAGCGCTCTACCGCTGAGCCACCTTCCCAGCCCCCACAACATAATTCTGAGCTCAATACTAGCAGTTAAGACCTTCAGAAGTTGTAACCTCTAACAACTGTGTACCTACTTTATCAGCAATGTCCCAGAGTCTCACTGTCCCATCTTCTGCAGCAGAAAGGAAGAAGTCCCTTGAAGGATGCGTTGCTAGCCCCCAGACTGGTCCATCCACATGCCCATTAACTAAAGTACTGCATGCTGCATTTTTCTCTCCAACTTCAATTATTTCAGCATTCCTTGTCCCAACTAGTATCTTGCCCTGAAATGTGGAACCAACACATTAAACGAATTTGCCAGCTTCACTCCCAAGCCCATCAATGGGTAAACTCTTCTATGGTCACAGGCACACATCTGCAGCAGTGCTGGGCAGGGTGCATGGTAGAGTCCAAGCAAAAGGCAGACCTCTCCTACAGTAATGCACCTGGATTCTTAAATAACCAGAGTTTTGACTTTGATTAGGATAATCTTAGGACTTCCAAAAAGGCTCTAAATACATTGGGAAATAAGAAGAAAACTAGAATTCATACATTAGTTGAAAAGGAAAATAACCAAGTAGTGGTGGCCCATATCTATAGTTCTAGTTATGTGGGAGGAGGAGGTAGGAGGACTGTAGAACAAGGCTTGGTCTGGGCAAAAGTGCAAGAAAAAAGTAACAAAATGCTCAAGTGGTAGGGTAGAATACTTTGCCTAGCAAAGGCAAAGTCTTGAGTTCAATTCCCAGTAGCACACGTGTAAAAATAAGCTTAACATTTAGATATCTAAACTGATAGCCATACATTAACAAGTACATACATATTCAACAGCTTTTAAAGGAATATGTAGCTAAAGATGGTGATAGCTGCTCTAATCCAAATGAACCAGTTGGCAAATATGTGTGTGTGTGTGTGTGTGTGTGTGTGTGAATTTCCATTGGTACTGGAGCTTGAACTCAGGGTCTCACACTCTTGCTTGGTTTCTTTGCTCTTAGGTAGCACTCTACCATTTGAACCACACCTTTTTGATGGTTAACCAGAGATGAGAGTCTTACCCTGGATTTGTCTGTCCAGGCCAGCTTTGAACCATGACCCTCAGACTCCTGAGTAGTTTGGATTATAGGCATGAGCCCAGCCTGGCAAGGATTTTTAGTTCCTAGGAGGCTTTTGTTGGGCATAGTAGCTCACACCTGTAATCCTGTAACTATTCAAAAGGTAAAGATTGAGAGGATCAAAGTTTAAGGCCAACTCAGGCAAGAAAAGTCACAGATATTATTTCAATAAGAAGTTGGGAATGGAGCTGGGAAGGTGGCTCAGTGATAGAGTGCTTGCTTGCCTTGCATGCATGAGGCCCTGGGTTCCATTCCTCAGCGCCACATAAGCAGAAAAAGCCAGAAGTAGCGCTGTGACTCAAGTGGTAGAGCGCTCGCCTTGAGCTGAAGAGCTTAGAGACAGCACCTGGGCCCAGAGTTCAGGCCCCAGGACAGACAAAAACAAAAAAGAAGTTGGGAATAGTGGTACATGCCAATCATCCTAGCTACGCAGGAAGCATAAACAAAATCATGGTCCATGCTCCTCTGGCATAAAGAAAACCCTATCTCAAAAATAACCAATGCAAAAAAAATTAGAGGCTATGGCTTAAGTGGTAGAGTGCCTGCTAAGCAAGCCATGAGGCTGTGAGTTCAATCCTAAGACTGCCCTCCTCCCCCAAAAGTAAAAAAAACAAAAACAAAACCCTGGAGGCTTAATTACAATAGCTGCCTGTCCTCTCACCGCACAGATACCAGCAACTGCAGAGAAAGGCCGAGCAAGATGACAGAAACTCATTCTTCAGTGTACTATGTAATATCAAGTATCTCCTGACAGAAACTCATTCTTCAGTGTACTATGTAATATCAACCGTCACAGCTGAGAAGGGCCTTCACCGGCTACTGTGTGGTATCAGCTGGAGGAACATCTTACTTTGCCTCTGCACACAGAACGGACACAATCTGTGGCCTGTCCTGTCTCCAGCCTGAAAGCCCGGCATCGCCTTAGTTCCTGATCCCACAGTTTAACCGCTCCGCCTTCTTTGGACCTGCATAAATAAAGTCAAACCCAAGTAACGGTTTATATTAACTCCAGATAGTGTTCCTTGTAAACAAACATATAAGGTATAAGCAGAATGCTAAAAAAGCCTAATATTTTTAACTTCTAATCTTATTCTAAACTTCCTATGGAAATTATAGGATACAATCAGTCAAAATGAACGTTTGGCTTCAGGAGATTGTATTTCGAGCAACACTGATTACTTTCTGAAGAGCCTAACTTTACTTAGCTTCTACCATACATTGTCCTCTCGTAATACTATGTCACTATAAAGATAGGTAAAACAATTTTTAATGTTAAAAGGATAACAAATGCAAATCAAGGTATTATATGCAAATCAGGATTATAGATGTCTGTATAAAATTGTTAATAATTTTGTGCCAGTACTGGGGCTCGAACTCATGGTTGGGCACGTCCTTTAGCTTTTTCACTCACCATTAGCCCTCTATCTCTTGAACCACACTTCTGGCTTTTTTTTTTTTTTGTGGATGATTATTTGGAGGGAAGTGTCTCACAGGACTTTTCTGGCCAGCGGGCTTTGAACCATGGCCCTCATATCTTCGCCTCCTGAGTAGTTAGTATTGTAAGTGTGAGCTACCAGTGCCTGGCTTGTAAAATTATTTTTTTAAGGGCCAAAAGCAGCATAGTCCTTTCCTACAATTATTATACAACCACCACCACCACCATCATCATATGTGGAGTTCTGGGGAATGAACCCCGGGCCTTGTGCTTGCTAGACAAGTACTCTATACCCCACTTCCCTTTCCTACTACTACTACTACTACTATTATTATATTTTATTATTTATTATTATTATTATTTTGATCGGTTGTAGGGCTTGAACTCTGGGCCTGGACGCTGTCCCTGAGCTCTTCAGCTCAAGGCGAGCGCTCTACCACTTGAGCCACAGTGCCACTTCCTGTTTTCCTGTTTTCTGGTGGTTAGTTGGAGATAAGAGTCTCATGGAATTTCCTGCCCCGGCTGGCTTTGAACAGTGATCCTCAGATCTCAGCCTCCTGAGTAGCTAGGATGACAGGCGTGAGCCACCGGCTCCCGGCTCTTTCCTACCGATATTAAAGTATCTTGCCAAGGCAGTTCATAGGTATAGGCCAAACAGAATATGGGAAGTATTAGAAGTGATATGTGAAGAATAAAATTGAGCCCCCACACAAATTTTCTCTCCAAAGAACATATTCTTTCATTTCCTGCTGTCTTAGGAGAAAACATGCCAGTGTACCATAATATATTGCTCACAGGTAAAGGAAAAGCTCTTGTGTCTGTTTAACTGACATGTTGGTTGTTCTGATCCTGTGGTGAAGTATACTTTTTTTTTTGTCAGTCATGGAGCCTGAACTCCGGGCCTGGCACTGTCTCTCAGCTCTGTATCTCAAGGTTAGCGCTCTACCACTTGAGCCACAGGGCCACTTCCAGCTTTTTCTGCTTAGGTGGTGCTGAGGAATCAAACCCAGGGCCCCATGCATGCAAGGCAAGCACTTTACCACTGAACCATCTTCCCAGCCCTGAAGTATACTTCTTAGTTGCTTGTCTGTCACATGTCAACATGTGGTGACTATGTTGGTGGCAAATCAATTTCTTAAATATCTGGTTACTATTTGAACATCTGAAAAAAAATCACTCACATTCACATTTCAGGTCTTGTACAAAAGTTTGTCTAACAAGTTTGCATGAAGCCAAAGCAAACCAGGCAGTTTGTCACCAGCCCTCCTTTGTTCCTTTCTTGTGGGGCGGTGTGCATTGTACTCTTTAGCAGACAAAGAGAAAAGGCAGTTAACATGCAGCCTGGGGCCAGGGCACTGGTGGCTCACTCTTAGCTACTCAGGAAGGTGGGAGCTGAGGATCCACGTTGGAAGCCAGCTGAGGCAGAAAAGTCTATGAGAACCTTATCCAATTAACCAGCAGAAAGCCAGAAGTGGAGGTCCGGCTCAAGTGGTGGAGTGCTAGCCTTCTGTGAAAAAGCAATGAGAGCTTGAGGAGCTGATGCCGCTGCGCTCAGTGGGAAGGACTGACTGCCCTTTATGTCCCTTTCACTAGGCACACGCTGATAGCCAGGACGGCATTAGGAAACCCCGTTCTTAATTTGAGGACAAGTGCTTATCAACTTATCAGCTAAACTAGCACCCCAATTAGAGCTGAAGTTTTATCTACAATGTGAAGAAAAAAGACTAACATTAAGGCCAGGAATGAGAATTCTAAGAAGGCACAGAAAAAGCAACATGGGAGAAATGTATGAGAAGGCCCGAGAGGACGGCCGTGTAGCATGGGGAGAACGAGAAGCTCTAACTGCAAGCCTTGGGGATCTCATCGCTGAGTACCCAGTGAGGACGGAAAGGGAAAGAGGACTCACGGCCTTTCCTTGCCTCCGGTGACGATGAGTCCATCCCGCAGTGTGGTGTACATGGCAAACACAGGCCCATTGTGAGCTTTGGCCACGACTCTACACAACATGTGATCTTTCCACACACAGACATCACCACTGATGGTACCTGTAAACGTCAAGTTATTCTGAAAAGGAGTGGGGAAAGGGGAGACACGTTCATCAAAAGTTCAAAGAGAGTTCAAATGTAAGCATCTACCTGAGTGGGATGCAGTATCGCCTCTGACAATGCACATGGCAGGGATGGCCCAAGACCAGGAACCTGAACTCGAGGTGTAGCTCGGTGAGGGGCTTTCCCTTTCTCAAGTCTACCACTTATTAGTTAGATCAATTAGGAGGAAGATTCTTTCCTTCTGGTTCTAAAATACTGCAATTCTTGTTTATCTTGTTCCTTGGATTGCTTTCCTCTAGCAAAATAAAGGTCCCCAATCAATGAGAGTAAGAAAAGAGAATAGGGAGTGAACATGGCTTTTTAACAGGTTTTTAGAGAAGAAAACTTGTCACAAAGGGAAGCTGTCATCTCATCTGAAGTCGTAGGAGTTTTCTGTCCCTCACTAACTCTTGCAGATCGAGGGACATTACTAGATCTGCAGTTAGAAAGCAATTGCTTCAGTACACAGAACAGGCTCCAGCCTAGACTCAAGAGTGCTTCAACTGAGAAACATCAACATGCTACCTCAAACGCATGTACAATTTTGTTTTTATGTTTTATATTTTTATGTAAATTAAAAATAAATTAGAACCACTTAAATTGAACATAAACCTACCTTTTACGGGAGAAAACATCCGTGCTCATTGCACTACTCCTTTATATACAGCAAATAAACGGTTTCTAATATTTTAGTCACCAAGCTTATTTTTTGGGGGGAATGGGCAATAAATAAGGCATTCTATGTATATAAGCATATTTAAGTGCCAGAATTGTGTGAATGTCTGGATCTTCTTCCAGAAACAATTTACTGGTCCTATATTAAATATACCCAAAATGTCCAACTCAAGTTTGACAGGTTGTGGCCACTAATGTCCATGGTCTTTTCTCAAAAGCAGAAGTGCACTTCACTGTTTTAAACTTGTGATTTTCCTTCTTAAAGTACCTCATACTCATACCCATATGAACACTTTCATAAGAAAACCATGTAGGGCTTATTTTTTTAAATTGCACCAAAGGATTTCTAAAGTAGCCAGGGTGCACAGAATTACTGGGAAGAGCCCAGATGGAAGGGAGTCAAGGGAAGAGAAAGGAGTCTTGAATATTGTTGAGACTAGAATTGGCTTCTTTCTTTCTGTCTCTCCCTTCTTCCCTTGTATTAGAGGTGCTAGCCTCTAGTTTAACTACACCATAAACAGGAAGTTAAGATGCTAGAGAGCAAAGGAATCCTAAACTCAAATGAGACCTTAAATTTCTTGAACATCATGGTAACTTGATGGACTTTCCTTTTATTCTGACAAAATAAATCTTAGGTGCATGAGGAACTACTTGGAAGACACATAGAATAACTAGTGTCATGTGTGTACTAATGAAGGCCTTGGAGAACAGCAATAGCCTATGGATGCAGATGTTTCATAAACATTCTTCTTCCTCCTTAGTAACTTTCTTCCCCACCCTCATTTCTGATAGAGATGAAATATATGTGTGACCAGGACAATGATTAGTGGATAACTGTGCCATATCAACGTTTATGTGACTCTATTTACAGAAAAAAAAAGTCACGGAGTCTAAATTCTACTACCACACAGGATTTTAAGAGACATACTGCACCAAATGCAACGGCGAGCATGGTCTGCATCCGGGCATCCTGCAGGGTGCTCAGCAGCCCTTTCTTGCTAAGAAGGGCCCTTCCCGCCAGTGTCCAGAACTTCACATGTTTTATTCCCACAGAGACAAACTGGGTATCAGAATCTGGTCGGAATTCTGCGACAAAAATTCGTTGGCTGTGCCCAGCTTTGCTGGCAATTTTGGCCCCTGACACAGAGGATACAACAAAATTATCCAAGTTAGTATAAGAAGCAAGCTAACCAACAGAATCAAACAATCCAAGTAATATGGTTCAAAATAATAACAAAATAATACTTGTAAGAAGAGAGGGTCATGGTTCTTGCTCCACTGACTAACAATCCATAACTCTCAATTACCTATGCTCCACAGGGGAGGCACACAGGAGGCCTTCATTCTGTTTAAGGGCCATTCTAGATTTTAGGAACATGACTTATATTTCTTCTGGGTTGACTCCATTAATTTCTCTATATGCCTTAAAATTTTTGTCTAAACTGTGTTAGGTAATATTTGCTATTGGTCTCCACTATGATTTAAAGGACACTTTAGGGGGCTTACTGGTAGAACACTTATCTGTGATGCCCTGGATTTGATTCCTAGCATCTCTGTCTCTCTCTCTCTGTCTCTCTCTGTCTCTGTCACACACCACACACACACACACACACACACGCACACGCACGCGTGCACTCAGACCTGGCACTTGAAAGACAAGAGCTCCACCGCCTGTCACCTGAGCTGTATGCTAGCCCTCATTTTCATTCTCTAGTAAGAGCTTCAAGAACCAACCAGTCATTCCTTAATGATTAGTAAAGACATAATTTCTTATGGAAAGGAAATAGCAATGAAAAAGTCTAATACTAATAACAGTTTTATGAACATCTTTTGTGTGCTTTTAAAGGGAAACACCTACTGTATACTAACTGCATTGGTATTGTGTGGCACTATAGTAAATAATGGCTTCAACAATCATCTACTTAAGGGACATAATATATAGAGAATTCATATTACAAACAAGAAAAGTCTTACCTTCCTGCCATCTCCAAATGGTAATGGTATGTTCTGGGTCTAGGCCCACAGACAGCAATAGTTTGCCAGTAGCACTGAAGCTGACTGAACACACACCCTTTGAATGGTAGCATCTTAATATAGATAAAGTCTGCTTGTTCATTGCGTCCCAGACGTGGATAGAAGGGGCTGTAGCTAAACAAAGACAATCCAAAAGTTATAATTGACCTAAATGTTTCCATCTAAAGCTGATACTCACCTCTAAAATGTTGAAAAAAAGTTGTAAGAATTATAATTATTGCACAATAGCTCAAAACCAAAACTAAATTTAGAGATTGGAAAAAAAGGGGAGCAGGAAGGAAAAAAGAAAAGGAAACAGAAAGTATATAATACTTCTTCAGGATAAATAGCATTTTGGCAAGCAAATCAGGCAATTAATAATGCTAAACAAATTATCAAAAACAATGCATGTTTATGGCCCAAAGGCAAAGCTCAGGACTAGTGCAAAGCCCAGGGTTTGATCCTCAGCACCAGAGGGGAAACAGGCATAGAAACCTACTCATAATTCTTTATATAATTACATGGAGAGCCATATGCATTTAACATGATAAATACATTGAATTGAAGTTTTCACTGAAAAGGCCTAGCTATTAAATATCTAGAAAAATGGGTATATATTATTAATTTAATAGCTTTTTAATTTGTAAACTAATGTTCAAAAACAAAAATGAAGTAATTTTAAGTTTTAGTGCAGTCTGCTTAATATGTATAACTGAACAATACATTTCAAAAATTGAAGTAGTCTATAAAAATAATACATTTCAAAAGATTTAATCCTTAGATAATATTTGTTGATTTATATTTAAAATGAACTTTTTAAAATTACATTTTTTATACCAGTCCTGGGGCTTGAACTCAGGACAGAAAATGATCAATTTTCCTTACCTGACATATCTGCTGAGTCACCTATAATGGAAAAAGCAGAAAAATAATTACCTATAAATAACAAATATTAACAGTAAAAGTGCAAAAACCCAATTATTATAAAATAGTTTTAAAATAATTTAAATCCTATCATTAACAAAGTCTTGCTTATTCCTTTCAGTTGAATAAATTGGATGGAGGGATTTGTGTCAATTATACATATTAACAGTCTATATTAGCTTTTCAAACTCTTTCTTTTTTATTAATAACTTTTTATTGTGAAAATACAGTACAGAGGGGTTAAATTACATGAGCAAAGTAATGAGTATATTTCTTATCAAGCATTGTTGCTTCCTCCTTTGTTTCCCCTTACCATTCGTGCCCTCCCATCCTCCCCCCTCACGCCTCCAACTTTTTATTTTTTTTAATTTTATTTTTTAAATTTTTTATTGTAAAGATACTATACAGAGGGTTACAGTTACATGAGCAAGGTAATGAGTACACTTCCTATTGAGCATTGTTACCCTCTCCATTGTTTTCCCCCTACCATCCCTTCCCTCCCTACCTTCCCGAAGTTCTTTTTTTTTTTTAATTGTGGTTAAGTGATTACATAATTTCCCAAATTTCACAGTATTGTGGAATAATGATGCTCATTTAAAGTCACAACTTTCCTGGAGCAAATTGTCTATCACAGTCTATAACATATAATGGTGTATACTATACACCATACATGTGATCAGCAGTATGGGGTTATTTAGTAGTGGTTCGACCAGATGAGTGGGAGTTCTTTGTTTCTTAAGTCCTGTTAATTTTGTCATATCACCTAACAGTTTGGATTTAGCATCCACTTATCAGGGAGACCATGTACTGTTTGTCTCTTTGCTCTTGGCTTACCTCGCTCAACATGATTCCTTCTAGCTCCATCCATTTCCCTGCAAATGCCATTATTTTGTCTGGATCCATTCATCTGTGGTGGGGCATCTGGGTTGTTTCCATATGCTAGCTATTGTGAACAGTGCTGCAATAAACATGGAGGTACATGTGTCCTTGTATATTGGTTCCTGTTGTTCAGGGTAGATGCCTAGAAGTGGTATGACTGGGTCGTAAGGGAGGTCAATCTTTAGCTTTCTAAGGACCCTCCAGACTGCTTTCCAAAGTGGTTGTATAAGTATACATTCCCACCAGCAGTGTAATAGGGTTCCTCTTTCTCCACATTCCCTCCAGCATTTGTCGTTGGCTGATTTGTGGATGTGGGACATTCTGACTGGGTATCTCAGGGTTGTCTTTATTTGCATTTCCTTCACCACCAGGGATGATGAACATTTCCTCATGTGTTTCTTTGCCATTTTTATTTCTTCATTTGAGAAGTCCCTCTTTAGTTCCCTTGCCCATTTAGTAATTGGTTTGTTAGGTTTGGGAGGGATTAGTTTCTTGAGTTCCCCAACTTTTTCTTTAGATAAAATATTTTCTTTGTAGTTAATGAGGTACATAAAATTTTAATTGTAATATCTTTAAAAATAATGTTGATATGATTTAAGTCCTGATGACATTTACTCTGGTTTATAAAATGCATCATCAAGTAGGCCCTGTGAATCTCTGCTTTCAGAGAAGAGGTAGATATAGATGTGAAGAGGTAGATATAGATATAAACTTTAAGGGTCATGATAGTAAAATATCTATGTAGTCCAAGAAACAAAAACAGTTCTTCCTTGTAACAAAAGGAAGAAAATGTGCATGCCTATGCTTATTATATTTGTTAGTAAGTATTTTTTTTTGTTTTTCCCCTGAGAGAATTATATTTGCACTGATCCTGGGATTAACCTCAGGGCCTGGGCACTGTCCCTGAGATTTTGTGCTCAGCTCCACTACTGACTTTTTGGTGTTTATTCTTGGAGATAAGAGTCTTGTGGAGGGCTGGGAAGGTGGCTCAGTGGTAGAGTGCTTGCCTTGCATGCATGAGGACCTGGGTTCGATTCCTCAGCACCACATAAGCAGAAAAAGCCAGAAGTGGCACTGTGGCTCAAGTGGTAGAGCTCTTGCCTTTAGCTGAAGAGCTGAGGGACAGTGCCCAGGCCCCAGAGCTCAGGCCCCATGACTGGCAAAAAAAAAAAAAAAAAGTCTTGTGGACTTTCCTGCCAAGGATGACTTTGAACGGCGATTCCCAGATCTCAGCCTCCTGAATAGCTATGATTATATTTATGAGCCTTTTGTACCCCACAACAAAGTTGTTTCTTTTCTTTTCTTTTAAAATAACAGTCTTTAGTAGGACAGAAGGCTGTAAACTGGGTGCCAGCAGCTTACTTCTGTAATTCTAGGTAGTGAAGAGGCTAAGACTTGAGGATCTTGGTTTGAAACCAGCCTAAATAGAAAAGTCTGCAAGAAGTCTCCAACAAACCAGCAAAAAGCTGTACTAGAGGTGTGGTTCAAGAGCTCTGAGTTAAAGCCCCAGGACCAGCACAAAAATAATTTTAGAAACTCATTGGAATTACATAATTGTTTTTCATCAACCAAGACAAAATAAGGATTTCTAGAACATATTGATTAAAAGGTCTAGAGTATCTTGACTTCGGAGATGAGGGAAGAGAGAATAAAGGAGTCAACTCTGCCAAGTGCTCATATAGTAAATAGTATGTTTAGTTCTAAACGTACTGTGATTTTAATCTCTTGACAGTACTGGGGTTTGAATTCAGGGCTTTGTGCTTGGTGGGTAAGCACTCTACTACTTGAACCATGCCTTTATCCTTCTCAACATACTTTGATAACTTCCAGTTGGTAGAAGGACTTGAAACTAGGCCACATGAAGAACCATTGAAAGATTGGGAGTGTTTGTTGTGACCAGGCCGGTCCCTGTGACAACAGGGAGTCTGTGACAACAGTACAGATCTAGAAGTCAAATATCAAAAAGCATCAAGTGAGGTCTCTTTAATTTTGGTGAGTACACCCCTGCGGTGACATGGAAGGATGGCACAAATGGAGAACTCTTTGGAGGTTAGGACAGTGTAAGCCCACCTTCTCACCCTTGCTCCATTCCACACTACCAGGAGCCATGAAGCTCACAAGTGCTGCTACAAGCTGAATGTTTGTGGCCCTCCAAAATCCAAACATTGACACTAACATCAAACACGATGGTACGAGCAGGTGGGACCTCTGGGGGACAAAAGTCATGAGGATAAGCCTTCACCATAAGATCAGTGTCCTAGAAAGGAGAGGAAAGAGCCTCTTTTTCTCTACTGTAGGAGGCTATAAAAAAGCCATCTGTAACCCAGAAAACACATCTGTAAACCCCACACAGTCTAAACTCATGATCTTGAACTTCTAATTTCCAGAACTTGAGAAATTACTTATTTTTGTGCCAGTGGAGGGGCTTGGACTCAGGGCCTTGCACCTTGCTTTGGCTTTTTTTGCTCAAAGCAGGTGCTCTATCCCTTGAGATACACCTCTATTTCTGGCTTTTTGCTGGTTAGTTAGAGGTAAGAGCTTTCCAGATTTGTCTGCCCCAGCTTGCTTTGGTCCTCAGATCTCAGCCTCCTATGTAGCGAGGATTACAGATGTGAGTCACCGACTTCTAGGTTTAGCCCACCTAATCTATGCTATTTATTACAGTACTCAAAAGCAACTAAGACATCCTTACTTGGAATCTCAGAATTCTACCCTTCAAGCATGCACATATTGGTTATACAGAATTCTAGGATATCAAATGGGGGAAGGCTTTCCGTGAGGGAAACTACATACATTGCTCCCATGGACATCTCGTCTCATGGAATGCCGCTGGAGACATCCAAAGCAAACCTTCCAGAAAAGAAGTACTAGACAAGACTCAGTAAGAATGTGATATGTCTCCCAAATGTAAGATGAAGTCACAGGCCTATGCGATTAGAAATTCTAGAATGAGGGCCAATGAATAGCAATCAAGACTGAGTTCTTGCTAAAGGACTAAATCCAACTGTTTCAGGTACTATCTAATAGTTTATTTTAAATGCTGAATTATCTGAACTAATTCAAGTAACAGAAAATTACATGGAAGTAAATTTTATAGAATAATAGGTATTTGGCTTTATGTATATACACATAGACTTTGAACCATCCACAATTACACTATATTTAAGCTTTTTCTTAAGACACTGAATTTATTTAAACAAAACCAATGTTTCAAATTGTTTCTTTTTAAAATACAGAAACATACCTACTTGGCCAGTTGCCACTATGTTGATAAACTTGGGATGCTGATTTATAGTGAGGCACAGAATGTCATCATTATGCTCCTGATAGAAACTCTGGGTCCCTATAAGGAAAGAATTTGAGATATAAGTTTCAAAATTTGAAGATGTAACAGCCAAATGTACTTATCTAGTATGATAAACTACTCTTTTAACGTATTTGTTAGTTCGCATAGTGTTTGAGCACTTATTGTCTATAAATGGTCATAAAGATACTAATGAATCAGAAGTTTTAAAGCATATAATACAAGTCTGAAAATACCAGAGAAATAGGATTCAAATGCTATGGAGGGATGGGGATGTAGCTCAGGGGTGAAGCACTTGTCTAGCATGTATAAGACCCTGGTTCAAATCCCAGTGACTCTCCCCCCCCCCTCCACACACACAAGAATTCAGTACAGGAAAGAGTATTCAAGAGTATTCCCATTATATAAATGTGGTACTCTGGCTGGGAAGGTGGCTCAGTGGTAGAGTGCTTGCCTTGCATGCATGAGGCCCTGGGTTTGATTCCTCAGCACCACATAAGCAGAAAAAAAAAAAAGTTGGAAGTGGCGCTGTGGCTCAAGTGGTAGAGCGCTAACCTTGAGCTGAAGAGCTGAGGGATTAGTGCCCAGGCCCAGAGTTCAGGCCCCACGACCGGACCCCCCCCCAAAAAAAAGAAATGTGGTACTCCTATGCTGACCCAAACAGATTCTATAAATGTGATGGTGGTTGGGGAAGACCATTTTACACAGAGAAGCACTTTGAGCAAAAGCAGAAAGGCAGGCAAGGGCTGGGTGTGTGCACGGGGCTCCTTTGGCTGAAGTGGAGGGGTCATGAGTAACAAGAATCAGCAATGTGGTTGGGAAGGCAGCTACAAACTAGAACTATGGAAGATTTGGAAGGCTAGATGATGACTTTTCTGTTAGGGTTTCGTAAAGGAAAAGATTCACCAGAGTCACATAAAAACAACAAATGTTTTTCCATTTAGTAATTTGGGCCATTTTTACTCTTATTTAATATTTATTCTGCAGTGAATGGAGAAACACAAAAGATTTTTTATCAAAGAATTAATTTATTAAGGAATTTCAGCATCTATCAGTACTGGAAGTTGAAGAGACATTAGACAGTCACAGCAGCAGTCTATGGGGGATATAATAAACTAAATGAAACTGGATATTAATGGCCTGGAGGGAAATGGTACAACAGATCCAAATTATAGACACCATGAATAAAATGAAACAAAACAAAACCTCAACAACTACATTTAGCAGACCTACTATTACTTTTAAACTTCCCAAAGTGAAATGTGCTTTGTACTTTCTAGACCTAAAGGCTGTTTGCTAAATTGGTGAAGATTAGGTAACAGATCTAGAGTCCCAGATTATGAAAATGCAGTGGATCACCAAACTGGTAAGAAACCATATTTGCAGAATGTAGGCAACGCCTAGTCTTCTTTCTGCCTTTTCTCTTGAGAGCTCATCATTAGAAAGGTGGTTAGTTAAAAATAAAAAAAATAAAATTGTAAGTATCAGAGTCTAAACATTCTTTCTTTCTTTTCTTTTTTCTTTTTTTGCTTATCTTATTCCTCCCTATTCTTAAAGGGTAAGTGAACCTTCAATTTTCTTTTGAAATAGCATTTTTTTTTGGGGGGGGGGTCCAGTCGTGAGGCCAGAACTCTGGGTCTGGGCGCTGTCCCTCAGCTCTTCAGCTCAAGGCTAGCACTCTAACACTTGAGCCACAGTGCCACTTCGGCTTTTTTCTTTTTGCTTATGTGGTGCTGAGGAATCGAACCCAGGGCCTCAGGCATGCAAGGCAAGCACTCTACCACTGAACCACCTTCCCAGCCCCTGAAATAGCATTTTTTAAATGCTCAGAATTATTAAATAGAAAACTACCAATGATTTCATGTGTTCCTGGTGAATCCTTTACTTTAGGTGCTAAATTCATGATTATTTAACTAGTGACTAATGATTAGCACTGACCAGGAAGAGAATCAGGACTCATGTGATCCATCTACTCCTTATCCATTCAGAGAGAAACTATCAAAGAAAAAACTAAAAGGTTTGGTTGGACTAGATAACCTGTTTCTAGTTCTAACTTAAGATTTTATGATGCTTACAAACATATGTAACAAAACAGAATTCAACAATGTCACTAGAATGTTCATGTTGATCATCAAATGGTGCTAAAAGAACTTAATTTGTTCTTCAAACTAATCAGTTAATAATAAACATCAAGAAATACTTTCTTGCTGGGAGCCAGTGGCTCACGCCTGTAATCCTGACTACTCAGAAGGCTGAGATCTGAGGATCTGAGGATCACAGTTCAAAGCCAACCCAGGCAGGAAAAGTCCTGCCCGTTGTGGCTTAAGTGGTAGAGTGTTTGCCTTGAGCTGAAGAGCTGAGGGACAGTGCCCAAGCCTAGAGTTCAAGCCCCATGACTGACCAAAAAAAAGAAAAAAGGAAAGTAAAAAGAAAAAAGAAAAAAGCAATACTTTCTTACATTTTTTGGACTCATAAGTAGAACCATAGATAAGCAGCTTCCTCAGCTTTCCAAGACCTCAGTAAAAACAATCTACTCAGCAATCATTTACCAATACACTACTTTCAATCATTATCAAAAACAATGTTCCTAAACCATCTCATGGTAAGGATGTGGGAAAAGGGAGCTCCAATTATGAATGGTTTCATTATAAAACATGGTTCTTCTCTTCTTTTTCTTCTGCTTCTTTTTTTTTTTTTTTGTTGAGCCATAGCGCCACTTGGTTACTTGGAGATAGGAGTCTCATGGACTTTCCTGCCTGGGTTGGCTTTGAACTGTGATCTTCAGATTTCAGCCTCCTTAGCAGCTAGGATTATAGGTGCGAGCCACCGGCGCCTGGCTAAAGCTATTTACTGTAAATCCTCACTTCAAACAGAAAGCAAATAGAACTTTGCATGATAAAATACTATTCTGCTATATAATGCTCTTAAGACTGAAATGTGGCTGGGCATGATGGTGCATGCTTGTAATTCCAGCACTTGAGAGGTTGAGCTGGGAGAACTGCAATTTTGAGGCCCCCCTGGGCTACCTAGAGGTACAGGCTAGCCTTGACTGTACAGCAAGAGCTTGTCTCAAAAACAAACAAAAAATAGCAACATAACCCCTCCCCCAAATACTGAAATATGAATTAGTCTGGACTTTTTCTCCAATATATTTAAAATATTTACAGCTTTAACAAATACCTATAGGCTGTTAGATAAATCCTAAATCAAAAACAGTATGCGTGTGTGTGTACTGATGAATTAGGATTTCCTACCTGTAGCAACATTGTGTAGAATTCCAACAGATGCAGTGTGATATATTATATCATCACCATCATTTAAATAATGTACATTATTCCTGCAGTCTCTGCCTCGATAACCAAACACAAGATCCAAAACAAGATCCTGTAACAATAATGGGAAAAAACCTTTTACCATATTTTTCCTCATATGTAAATGTTCATCCATGTTCTGTGGTATACACAGTACTGAGCTCTTCAGTCACAATGAATGGAAGGTATGTTTTGGATATTTAACAAACTTCATACACAAAACCAACTAGATACATTTCTCTATGTAACCTGTTTTGGACAACTAAAAGATATATTCTACATACTGTATTTTTCTTTTTTTTGGTGGTTGTGGGGCTTGAACTCTGGGCTTGGGTGCTGTGAACTCTGGGCTTGGGTGCTGTCTCTGCGCTCTTCAGCTCAAGGAGAGCGCTCTACCACTTGAGCCAGAGTGCCACTTCTAGTGGTTTTCTAGTGAATTTTTTATTGGAGATAAGAGTCTCACGGAGTTTCCTGCCCGGGCTGCCTTTGAAGCGTGATCCTCAGATCTCAGCCTCCTGAGTAGCTAGGATTACAGGAGTGAGCCACGGGTGCCCGGCTACATACTATATTTTTCTATGTAAACTAAGGAAAAGGAAATAATGTGATCAGCTGATTGCAAGAATTTTCTACATGTTAAACACAGATGTTTGGTTCCAAAAGAATACTTTAACCTGTATTCAATATAGTCACAAAAACCTTATCCAAGGATAAATAATCGTCTTAGAATAAATGATGTGCATGTCAGGTACTCTGATTAACACAAGGATGTCTCTGACAAGTCATGCCCAAGTTCAGGCAGAGAGTCCTACAACAGAAAGTGTCCATTCTCACTGGCCAGGCATAAACCCTATTCATGCCTGAGGATGCACAGGCTGCTGGGGCTACGGATGCTGGCCACAGCCTTTCTTCTTCCTCTATTATTGTGAAAAATCTCTTGTCTGGAGAGACAGAACAGTCTCCATAGACCTTGTGGTCAAGTTCCAGATATAATGTAAGTATTTAATCTTTAGTTTATAAATTCAGCCCAGAAAGTATAAGAAAGTGCCAAAGTGCTGTGCTTACCTAAGTAACTGATCATTTCCATACATGTATATTTACAAATTCTGAGATACTGATCAATCTTCCAAGGTATTACAAGTATAAGACTCATTTAAAAAATTGAAGAGAATTTGGGTATCAGTCTAAACCTCAGAACTGAGTAGGAGGGGCTGGAAGTTGGCTCAGTGGTAGAGTGCTTGCCTTGCATGCCTAAGGCCCTGGGTTCGATTCCTCAGCACCACTTAAGCAAAAAGAAAAAACCTGGAAGTGGCGCTGTGGCTCAAGTGTTAGAGTGCTAGCCTTGAGCTGAAGAGCTGAGGGACAGCGCCCAGGCCCAGAGTTCAGGCCCCAGGCCCGGACCCCCCCCCCCAAAAAAAAAAGAACTGAGTAGGAGTTAAGCAATAGATTTTTTTACAACCAAAGGAAGTAAGATTATATTCAATACACTTATTTTCATGAAAACCAATGACAAGGCTTAGATAGTTATAAAAGGAACTCGGGAAATATTTTAGTAACAACAGGAAATGGGTCTTCCTTACCTCTATGGGTCTCTTTTTCTTGCCTACGTTGTTCGTCTGCAGTTTTTCTGGCTGTGGTGGGGCTCTGCTCACTGGGGGCCTGTAATGAAGGTGGGAAGGAGGAGATGTATGCATCACCCATGCCCAGGACCGCCCAGAAGTGCCTTCCAGAGAGGTCCAAGCTTTGCCAACGGGAACCCATCTGGCTCCCGTAGACTGGTGGCCTCTGATTTTGATAGGCTCTCATGCAAGAAGGTGAAAAGAAAATAATTTAAAATTTTATTCATTCTCTTGGGTTTCAGTGTTTTTTCTTCCCCTAGTGTTGAGTTTGAACTGTGTGCCTCATGCTTGCTCAGCTTGTTCACTTGTCTCTCTACCATTTCAGCCAGGCCTCCAGTCCAACTTTTTTGCTGGTTATTCCAGAGATACAGTCTCAGAGACTTTTCTGTCTACACTGGTTTTGAACCATGATTCTCTAGATCTCAGTTTCTTGAGAAGCTAGATTTACAGGCATGAGCCACTAGCCCCACCTTGCTTTTAATTCCTTGTTAATAATACATATATTATAAATATAATAAAATATAATAAATCATAAATAATAAAATATGAATGATATATTACACATAAGAAAATAATTTTACATACTTAAAAATGTGAGGGGTACATTATCAAAAAGCCTGGATTATTGCTTAAAAGCACCCAACACCAACATTTTCTTCTTGAAAGTGAATTTTAGTATTTCTGTATACTTTCTATACTGTTAGCAAACATAAATCATATGAGTTTAAATTTATAGTAGCATGCTTTTTCATGCTCGTTGTTAGCTCTTCTTCCATACCTCCCCTTCACTGGCTCTGCTTCTTGCCATCCTCATATGTGCTAAATGCTTCACCATCCAACAGTTATTCAAGGGAAACAATTTTTAGTCATAAAGGACTTTTATTAATACGACACTCTGGAGAAGGTAATCACTATTACTAATGCTGCTCATTTTCCTTCTTCTCATCTGCCAAACTGAATAACCTGAAAACTGAATCTAAATCAATCATCTATCAACCCTTCTCCAAATTTTAAATATTCAGTTTATAAAAACTAAATCAAAAGGAAATTAAGGCCAGGGCCAGTGGCTCTCGCCTGTAATCCTAGCTACTCAGGAGGCTGAGATCTGAGGAACACGGTTTAAAGCAAGCCCAGTAAGGAAACTCTGTGAGACTCTTATCTCCAATTAACTACCAGAAAACCGGAAGTGTCACTGTGGCTCAAGTGGTAGAGTGCTAACCTTAAGCTGAAGAGCTGAGGGACATAGCCCAGGTCCAGAGTTTAAACCCCATAACTGACAAAGAAAAAAAAGTAAAAGAAAAGAAAAAGAAATTAAGCTGGGCACCAGTGGCTCTTGCCTGTAATCTTAGCCACTCATGATCTGTGGATCATGGTTCAAAACCAGCCTGGGAAGAAAAGTCTTATCTGTTATCTTCAATTAACAAAGAAAAAGCTAGAAGTGCAACTGTGGCTCAAGTAGTATACCAGCCTTGAGCAAAATGTTAAGGCCCTGAGTGCCAGCCTCAGTACTAGCACACACACACAAAAAGTGATACAAATAACTCTATTACGGAAAAAATTTAATATTTATGAATAAGTCTTCTAAAATCAAAGGCATTACACTATAGCCATTTTATACATTTATAAAAAGTAAATGAAGCTAGGTGCCAGTGGCTCATGCCTGTAATCCTAGCTACTCAGGAGGCTGAGATCTGAGGAGCATGGTTCAAAGCCAGCCAGGGCAGGAAAGTCTGTGAGATTCTTATCTGCAATTAACCACCTGAAAACTGGAAATGGTGCTGTCGCTTAAGTGGTAGAATGTTCGCCTTGAGCTGAAGAGCTGAGGGAGTGTCCAGGCCCAGAGTTCAAGCCCCATGACCAAAAAAAAAAAAGTAAATGATTAATCTTGAACATGCAATATAAAATAAATCGATGTAGTGAGCTGGAACATGCAAAATATAAAGTGATTATGTGGCTCAGTGCTAGAGCACAAGGCTCCAGCTTTGATTTCCAGCACTGCAACAATAAAATTAGTGTAGATTTTTATATGTAACATAAAACAGCATGTAGAATATATACACATGCCTGATTGGTGTCATAAAGTAAATGTCCTAGACAGGCACTGATGGTTCACATCTGTAATTGTAGCTCCTCTGGAGGATGAGATGTGGAGTCTGGAGATTTGAAGCCATTCCAAGCAGAAAAGTCTGAGACTTTATCTCCAAAATAACCAGCAAAAAATAATACTGAGGCATGGCTCAAGTAGCATACTATAAGCAAACTGATAGGGGGTGTGCATGTAACTGCAATGGCTCATTTTTGTAATCCTAGGTACTTAGAAAGTGGAGATCAGGAGGAATATTGTTTGAGGCTAGATGACCAGGCAAAAAGTGAGTGATCACAGATTACATGTTAAGCGATATGCCTGGTGTGGTGGCATACTCCTGTGGAGCCCAGTTATGTGACATGTCATAAGTAGGAGAATCAAGTCTGATACTGGCTCCAGGAACCCTATCTGAAAAATAACTGAAGCATGAAAGGGATGAATGGGGTGGTAGCGGCTCAAGTAGCAGAGTGTCAGCCAAGCAAGCAAGAGGAGCAAGGGCTCTGAGTTTAAAGCACAGGACAACTAGCAAAAAAGAGTGCCACACACGTCTGTCTGGTTCATGTCATGGTTCATGTTATCACAGAAACTTTGGCTTCAAATCATTTACTTTTGATTTTTTATGCAAATGAACCATTTTTTAATATAAGGAAATAAAAGCCACTCGGAAACCTGAATTTTAAATCAACCAATACTGTTCAAATGCTGTTGTCTTAAACTACCCCACTTGGATATCAAGCTTCCAGGATGGATGCTTATTGATAACAACACTGAAGTGACCAGATTGATGGGCAATTCATTACCAGAAGATTATGGGACATATAGCAACATGTTTTACAGAGAATGACAGTATGATGTTAAATGAGTAAAATGAAGAAGAAAAGCTACATGACATGAACCTCAGAAAACAATTTAGAAAGTACTGTGGCTCAAAACTAGCGATGAAGTCGTGGGAGAATGCCACCCTTCTGGCTGACATGCTCCTAGGACATGCAGAGAATAATGGGTAAGTCATTTACTTTTTAAATGTCCTTGAGTAAAACATAAAACTAAATTTGTCGTATTTAAACTCACAATAGTTCTACTAGGACTGCCTGTTTCAAATAATAGAAACTTTTTTTTTTTTTGGTGCTGATCCTGGGGTTTGTACTCAGTGCTTGGACTCCATCTCTAAGTGTTTTCGTTCAAGGCTAGCACTCTACCACTTGAGCCACATCTCCATTTCTGGTTCAGGTTAATTGGCAATAAAGAGTCTCAGAGATTTGTTTTCCTGACTTTGAACTTTGATCTTAACATCCCCGCCTCCGGAGTAGCCAGATATGAGCCACCAGTGCCCAGTAAAACTGGTTTTCTTCCAAGTCAATTTAGTAGTTTGTTTCATCAATGTTAGTATCTGACAGCTTTAACTATAATACAACTCAAACAATAAATAAGCAGTTTGTATCTATACAACTCTATGTAACAATCAAGCATATTTTAATTTTTGTAAGGACAATTCAAATAAAGTATATTGTATTATTGCTTAAAATAAAATTATACAAGTTGAAAAACTGTACAACTTGAATGCAGGAAGCTTAAGTAAAGCAATTATATGTAGTACACATCCACTAATTATGGTTCTATACATGCCACACATTGATGGCTTGTATCTATAATCCTAGCTGCTCAGGAGGCTGAGATCTGAGGATCATGGTTCAAAGCCAGCCCAGGTAGGAAAGTTCGTAAGACTCCAATAAACCACCCAAATAAGTGGAACTGTGGCTTAAGTGGAGCTGTGGTTTAAGTGGTCGAGTGTTAGAGCTCAGGGACAGTGCTGAGGCCTTGAGTTCAAGCCCTAGCACCAACACACACACACACACACACACACGCACACGCATACACACACACACACACACACACACACACACACTTCATTTCAGGGGCTCTAATTCCAAAGGGAGAAAGTGCAGAAAAATGAATAGAGGTAAACAGCATTGAGTCACATTGCTCATTAATGGCAAATGAAAAAGATTATGGACACACAAAATTAGGCCTCATAAACATAACAAGAAGATTACCTGGAACCTCTTTTCAGCAGCAAAGAAAGAAAGAAGAACATATTATAACATAATTTGAGATTTAAAAGAGAAAATATTTCCTTTAATACAATATTTTATATGTTTAATGCAGCAAATTACACTGAAAATATTAAAGGCCTGTGGACTTTTATTACTGAACATTGAAAAGGTCTAAATTATTCCATTAATGGCAGACAGATCAGAAGAAAAAAGGCAAAAGAGAAAGATAAGTGAGAATTCAAAATGTTCTGTGTTGTAAACTACAAGTATAACATTCTTTTTCTTATTCAGATTAGACAAAGTGAATTTCTATCAAACTACATCTGCTTGTCTTTGTATTTACAAATAGGAAACAAAATCTAGATTTAAAAGGCTAGTAGCACTTGAGTCTTTAAGAGAATTTTCTAAGAAGAAGGACCCACAGTCAGCCAATCTGGGAGACAGTAGGAGTAATTGAAGATCTAGTTAGATTTGGAATTTGGGTAGTAAACGAATTAACAATAAAAAGAAATATTCTACTAGATGCTGTGGCTAATGCCTTTAATCCTAGCTACTCAGGAGTCTGAGATCTGAGGATTTTGGTTCAAAGCCAGTCAAGGCAGCAAAATCTCAAGACTCTTTCCTACAATTAACCAGCAAAGTGCAGCTCAAGTGGGAAAGTACCAGGTTTGGATGTAAAAATTGAGTTCAAGCCCAAGTACCAGCACATAATCAATCAACACAAAATTTTGTTGAGGTTGATGTTATATGCCTGTAAGCACAGCTACTTGGAACACAGAGATCAGGAGGATCACAGATCAATTACAGCCCACACAAAAAGGTTAGGGAGACCTCCATCTCATTAACTAAGCCAGGTATAGTGGGTCACTTCTGTAATCTCGACTACATTGTAGGGATAGGTAGAAGCATTGTGGTCCAAGGCTGACTTTATAAAAAAAAAAAAATACAGACCAAGCAGGAGGCCCCAAGTCCAAACCTTAGCACTACAAAAAAAGAAAAACAAAAATTCCAACTATTTAAAAAATGTAGTAGTTCCTTAAATTATGTAGAAAAAAATGTGGTTAAAGAAAAACTAACTTTAGTTGCTTTTTTTTTTTTTTTTGGTGGGTCATGGGGCCTGGGCACTGTCCCTGTGCTCTTTAGCTCAAGGCAAGCGCCCTACCACTTGAGCCACAGTGCCACTTCTGGTTTTCTAGTGGTTTATTGGAGATAGGAGTTTCATGAACTTTCCTGCCTAGGCTAGCTTTGAACTGTGATCCTCAGATCTCAGTCTCCTCAGTAGCTAGGATAATAGGCATGAGCCACCGGCACTTGGCTCTAATTTTAGTTTTTAGAAACTATTAGTGTAAGACTAGAGTGGAGCCCTGAGTTCCATCCTAGCATTGAAAAAAAAAAGAATTAGAAAAAGAAAGAAAAGGAGAAACAATACCTTTTCCTTAATATTATAGTGAGTTCTGGAGTGGTGATATAGAACCACAGTTCCAGCACTCAGGAGACTTTGGTGGGAGGATCTCAAGTTTGAGACTTGCCTGGCTTATGTAGTGAGACTCTGCCTTGAGAAACAACAAACAAAAATATACAAAAAAGCTGGAAGTAGCACTGTGGCTCAAGTGGTAGAGCGCTAGCTTCGAGTTGAAGAGCAAATATATATATGAATACACACACACACACACACACGCACGCACGCACACACACAAATACTGAATAAAGACTGAAGATGTAGCTCAATGGTAGAGAACTTGCCTAGTACCCAGGGGAATGGAGTGTAAGAGTGTAACAGAAGTTCAGGGTGTCACAAGGGTCCCTCCCCCATTTCACCCAGGAACCATCCTTATTCATCTAGAGCATCACTTTATGGTGCTCATGACAAATGGTCATCTAAAGTGCATAAACACAGACGGGGACTCATGTCTACATAAGAAGCTCTTCAAGTCCAAGACAATAATCACATCTCTACTTCATTTTCTTGCTTTGAAACAAGTGATTCCCAGAAAACTGACTGTTCTTCATAAGAAGTGGCCATGCCATCTTCCTTCATTCCACAAGCAGACAATGTCTCCAGAAAGTAGAGACTGGTATGGAACAAGCTACTTTGAATTAGAGGCTAGCTTTGAATGCTTCATTTCTGTTAAACAGCAGGAGATTATGTAAACTTCTTTATTCTTTATTATTTTTTTGTGCTAGTACTCTGGCTTGAACTTAGGGTCTCATGCTCTAGCTTGGTGTTTTCACTTGACTTTTTCCACGTCTGGGGCGCTCTAGCATGGGAACCACGCCTCCACCAGTATGTGGGTCTCTAGAGGTGGTGTTATACTCTGCACTCTTTCCCACACATCCCTGCTTAAAATACACCATGAATTTCACAGATATTTCCTGCTGTCAATACGTTCAGGGGCCTACTATTTGAGTATCTGCACAATTTGGTCAAATGCACTTTTTAAATTCTATCTCTTGGAATTTTCTCATTGCTATTTTTTTTTGTAACTTCTAAAGTTAATCCCCTCCACCCCCAGGCCTCTTTCAGAGACTGTGATTTGATCTTGGTGTCTTACACTTAATGCTCATAGCAGGTACAGGTACCCTACCACCTGAGCCACACTTCCAAGCCCAACTTCTAAAGCTGACTGTATTTTCCCAGTGTAGTGTTTAATAAACTCTCTAGAGACACTTTCATCTCACTAAAGGTAATCTAAAATTATCCATGTCATTTTATTAAATGTACAATTATGTAATTAATCTTTTATTGTTTTTTTTTTTTTTTTTTGGTCCGGTCGTGGGGCTTGAACTCTGGGCCTGGGCACTGTCCCTCAGCTCTTCAGCTCAAGGCTAGCGCTCTATCCCTTGAGCCACAGCGCCACTTCCGGCTTTTTTCTTTTTTGCTTATGTGGTGCTGAGGAATTGAACCCAGGGCCTCTGGATGCAAGGCAAGCGCTCTACCACTGAGCCACCTTCCCAGCCCTCTTTTATTGTTTTTAAATGAAGTAACTATGCATTAAACGAAGCTATCAGGTTTCACTGATAAATATATGTGTCTATGTTTGTTTTTATGAGACTTTTAAACTGAGGAAAGATCTTAAACTCTCTAAAGTATAGAAGTTCACTAAGTCTTTGGAAAATCAATGAATCATAAGACTTTCACAGTAATAGCCACATATTATATCTAAAAATGCAATTTTTATGGGATTTGTCCTATTCTATATCTTTCTTGATAAATCTAAATATTTCATAAGAAAATATTAATACAAAGCTTGATGCTGGTGGCTCAAGCCTGTAGTCCTAGCTACTCAGGAGGCTTGGTAGAATAGTCCAAGAGACTCTTATCTCCAATAAACTACTAAGAAAAAGCCAGAAGCAGCACTGTGGCTCAAGTGGCAGAGTGCTAGCCTTGAGTACAAAGGCTCAGGGACAGCACCCACATCCTGAGTTCAAGCTCCAGGACCACAAAAAAAGAAAATATTAATACAATGGTATAAAGATCACAATAGAACAAAGAATAAAATACTTGATATTTTAATATAAATAATATATCGGAATAAACTATATCTTCAATAAAACACTTACCTTACTACCCCCTGTCTTCGAAAGGATAGGGGAAAAAAGTAGGGAAACAGATGAAAATTAATAATAAATAAGCATGGCAGTTTACTAAACACAATAAAGGTAAACATGTCAACAGAAAAAATACAAAACTATCTCTATTTTATGTCACATTGTTTTGAAAAAGTTTTAGTAATATATATTTTTAGTAATATATACGAAGTTGGCAAAAAGAAGGTTCTTAATTTCTATCTACTCTTATTTCGTGAAATGAAGGTTCTTAGGAGCCACATTAGCAGAATCAACACTGAATTTTTTTAAAAACAGAAGACAATTTAAAAAATAATTTTAAACCACTGGCCAGGTGCCAGTGGTTCATGCTTGTAATACTAGCTATTCAGGAGGCTGAGATCTAGGGGTCATGGTTCAAAGTCAACTCAGGCAGGAAAGTCCAGGAGAATCTTATCTCTGGAGCTGCAGCTCAAGAGGTAGAGCACTAGTTTTGAGCACAAAAGCTGAGTTCAACCCCCATGACCAGCACACGTGTACGCACACATACAAACAAAATTTTCATTGTTAGCTGCAAAAGATCCAAGTTAACACCAAAGATTACAGTTAGGGCAAGTATTAATTGTTCTTCAACAGCAGGAAAATATTCCATCTGTCTAAATGCGGATCACTTCAACAATAGAGGAGGATCTAAATTTAAGTGTTGTACTATGAATGATGGACTACAGATTACAATTAGGTAATATAACAAATTTATCTGACAGAGATAATGTTCTTATCTTAGAAATAGTATAAGATATGAAAGAAATATATGGGACTCTATATTAAGAGTTCTTTCCTTACAGAACACTACTTTTTCATTACTAGAGTGATACAATTTCTTTAAGGTAATACTAAGAATAAATATTTAAGAATTCTCTACATCCACATATGTGGATTTATATGCATTATTCTAAGAAATAAATATACAGGTAGTGCTTGCTTATTATTTATGAATATTTTATTTCAGAAAGACTTTCAGCCATATCCTCAGGCTACTCTGTATTTCATCTCAAGGGAGGGTGTCATTGGTGGAGGGTTAAGTAATCTATCCATCAGGGATTATAATTCTCATTTTGATCCTGTGGTTTAGAAAGAATAAATAAGACCTCAAGGTCACAACTAGTAAATGGAAAAATGAGTATTTTCACCTATTTGGCTCCAAAATCTATGTCCTTTGGGCAGCATGAAGACTACCTATTCTAGCAAGCTGATACAACACTGTAGTTCTCTGCAGGTATTTAGATTATGGTATAACCAATTTCTGTTAAAATTACTTTGAAATTTGTGTCTTTAAACATAACACATGCATGGTTAGTCTATCCTTCTCTAGGTGACTTCCTCTATCAGTTATCCTATCTGCAAGCTAACCTCTACCTAGTTGCTGAGGAGGTACCTTCTCTGGAACGCTGTGTTAGTGAATTTACCAGAATCTCCAGTTATCCCTTACCTGTCTGTCACCAAAGTGCACCTCACTCCTCACACTTCATTCCCTGAATAGGTTTTATTTTTCAGCTTTTCCTCAGATACAAACTTCTTCGAAATTTTTCTTCATATGGAAGTCACTGTTGTCCCCCATCTCCCACCACCTCTGTTTGTCATTGCTTCTGCTTTGCTGAATAATCTTCCTTAACCATTTTCTAAAACCTCTCCCCTTGTTAAATCTATGCCATCAGCCTCATTTTTTTTTCCACTTTGGGAATGGAGCTTAGGGACTTATACATAGTAGGTAATCCTTCAAACACTGAACTACGTCCTTGGTCCCCATAGGGTTCTTCACTGTTTTCTGTCTTTAATTCTGAAAATTCTAAGTCCACAGTTTCTACCTTGACCTTTCCTTTAGCCCAGAGACTTTCTTAAAAAAGCTATCTCCTTATAAAATTACAATGTACATGTCCTTATTTTTGACATGCTGATTACACACTACTACCAGTTTCCATTAAAGCCAAGCTATACCTCAAATCTGCATTTTTTGCTTTAAAGTTTTTGAAACAATGTATCTCCTTGATTAACGGTATATGATAGAAAGGCCTTTTAAACTGAATCACATACATGTATTTATATGTATGCATGTATATGTGTATATATTTATATGCACATATATGGATGTATATGGATGTAACATTTCCTAAACTACTGAAGAAAGTTACTAACAAAGCATTTCAGGACAAACATATTTTCTCAGAGTTGCTGAGCACTGTACAAAACAAGGTTTCCACTGTTAGCTTTGTTAATCAACAAATTTACTTTTTTTGCTAATGTATTTTTCTTCAATTTAAAATTCATTTTAATTTAAAAACAGTTTTAAACTATATTATTACCTCTCATCAATTGAAGGTTCTTTTTGTTGTAAATGAGGCTTGACTCCAAACATTGGGCGAATATTTGTTGATAAGGCTCTGATGGTGTAACTGATTTCTTTCTCTTTTGTAACATCACTGTCATAGCCTATCAGCAAAATATGAAGTGATTCCTTAAGTAATAGTTGAGATCAATTATGACCCCATAAATATAATGAAAGGATTTCCAACAGTATGAAATAAGTATGTGATAGTTAATATTCAGTTGGCAAAATAATATAAGCAACATTTACTATATAGTGGTATTTTCAAAGCATCACTAAGAGATAATACAAACTACAAAAATGAGTTCAACATGATCCCAATTTATAAAATTTTCATGTGCCTAAACACATACTAAATATCTGAAAATGTTAGTAGAGGTTAAGATGCAATGATATGGGAGTATTTTTTCATCTTTCAGAGGTGGACTCAATATATTATTGTACAGTTCACTTGAGAATCAAACATATGTTCACATTTTGGAGCTGATTCTTTTCCCTCTCCCAAACTGAGCGTTGTTCTTATTTTTAATTATTTAAGAAGTTGTAAAAAGGAGCTGCCATTTAACAGAGAATTTTATGAATACAGTATATCTTGATCAATGTCACCTCTTTCTACACTCCCCCCATTCCTTCCCTATCCACCTCTCTTCTCTCACTCTTAATTTTGTAGTATATGCATTGGATTCTTGACAGCATGTCCCCCTCTTCAGTCATCTGTGCTCCTTTCCCTTTAATCCCACCCCATCCCTTTCATGTACCTGCTTCCTGGTGTCTTATTTTGCTGAACTTTCATTTTGCCTTTCTAAGGAACAATATTTCAGATCTCCTTGAATCTACCATACTTCAGTTAATATATTTATGTACACTTGTATGCCACCCAACATATTTATTTATGAGTGTAAGCTAGTTCTGCTTCCACATATAAGGGAAAATGTGCATTCTTTGTAGATGCTGTGATTTTTTTTTGGTCGGTTGTGGGGCTTGAACTCTGGGCCTGGGCGCTGTCCCTCAGCTCTTCAGCTCAAGGCGAGTGTTCTACCACTTGAGCTACTACTTGAGCACTACTTCCAGTTTTCTAGTGGTTTATTGGAGAAAGGAGTCTTATGGTCTTTTCTGCCCGGGCTGGCTTTGAACTGAGATCCTCAGATCTCAGCCTCCTGAGTAGCTAGTATTACAGGTGTGGGCCACTGGCTCCTGGCATGTGATTTTTTTTATGTATTTTCTAAAATGAACTAGTGAGTATGACTGGCACATTAGGAAAAAAATCAAAATATTTTAAAATGAAGTTTAGCCAGCATGATAATTCCAGCTATTTGGGAGGTAGAAATAAGAGAATCAATGTTTGAAGTTAGCCAGGGCAGGAAAAGTTCGTAAAACGTTTTCTCAAAGTACAAGCCTACAATGGTGACACAATGCTTATGGTTACAGCTATGGAAAAGCAGGGGTAGGAGGAGTTCAATTTGGGGCCCGTCTGGGCAAAGTCACAGAACCCTGTCTGAAAAATAAATAACAAAAAAGGGGATCAAGGGTTGTGATTTAAGTGGTAGTATACTCGTGTAGCAAGCACAAGGCTGAATTCAAAACCTCAATACTGCCAATAAAATAAAATATGACGTTCAATAGTATTTATTTAGAATTTTGTCTTAGATTTATATGAAGAATATTAAGAGTCACCAATACATGCCAGCCTGTTGTTATTTATCAAAAAACATATTCTGGTGTAAAACTGACCAAAACTACTAACATCACAACTATTCAGACTTTATTATTGTTTTAACTTTCCTATTTCAAGTGAGTCAAACTCAACTTTTTCTGTATTCTTGTTAAAATGTTTAAAAATAACATACCTCCATCTTCTTCAGAATCTATATCCGATTCTTCACTGTCACAGGGCCTTCTTTCTCGATAACTCTCCACTTCATTTGTCCACACCATTAAGGACATATCTGCACCTCCTAGAGTGACCAGCATGCTGTCATCATAAGTCCAGCGAACATTTGTGACATGTGTACTGTGGGCCACATACTTCTTAAACTTTCCAAATTTTCCCTAAAGATAAAACAATTCAAAAATCCCTTTCTTGGAAAAAGAAATTTCATTATTTGAAAATGTTTAGCCTTTTTCAGTAGATGAGTAGAAATTAGGGATTTGATAATAGATATTAAAAACATGAGAAAATAATTTTGTTTTTTTTTTGGGGGGGGTCCGGTCGTGGGGCCTAAGCTCTGGGCCTGGGCACTGTCCCTCAGCTCTTCAGCTCAAGGCTAGCACTCTACCACTTGAGCCACAGCACCACTTCCAGCTTTTTTTTTCTGCTTATGTGGTGCTGAGGAATTGAACCCAGGGCCTCAAGCATGCAAGGCAAGTGCTCTATCACTGAGCCACCTTCCCAGCCCCAATATTGAGATTTTTCAAGGATAAAAAGTACTAATTCTAAAACTTGAGAAGGAAAAAATAAACTAGTGAAATAAAAGTAGTTTCACTATGCTGAAAAGTGAACTTTAAGCCGAGCGCCGGTGGCTCACGCCTGTAATCCTAGATACTCAGGAGGCTGAGATCTGAGGATCTCGGTTCAAAGCCAGACTGGGCAGGAAAGTCCATGAAACTCTTATCTCCAATAAACCACTAGAAAACCGGAAGTAGTGCTGTGGCTCAAGTGGTAGAGAGCTTGTCTTGAGCTGAAGAGCACAGGGACAGCACCCAAGCCCAGAGTTCAAGCCCCACAACTGACCAAAAGGAAAAAAAAAACCGAACTTTATAATTTAGGTGGGGGTGGGGAGGAGTGTAGTTGTGGCGGTGGGAGTTAAGGGATAGTAGGGGAAAAACAAAGGAGGAGGCAACAATGCCTGATAAGAAATGTACTCATTACCTTGCTCATGTAACTGGAACCCCTCTGTACAGTATTTTCACAATAAAAAACTTATTAAAAAGTAGTTTCAAATATTCTTAATGAGAATTAATTCCTTTAGAAATCAATTGCAATAATATTTGATGTTAAAAACATAAAAATGTTCTTACTTTTTATTTACACATCTCCCTTGTTCTATGCTCAACATGTTATGTGTGCAAAAAAAACTTACCATAATGTTTACTTACATTAGCAAAAAATTTAAATAGTTTAAATGTTCAATAAAATAACAGTCAATTACAGTTAATATGCAGCAGCATAATCTATTAGAAACAATGATTATAGATATCATTGTTGGAAATAAACATAATTGAGAGAATATAAATATCTATGCACACAGATGGCTACAGTAACAAACAATTATCAATTACTTTGGTAAATACATATAAATATCTTTCATCTTAATTCATGAGTGCTTTTATTGGAAACTTTTAAATCAAGAAATCGGTGCTACAAGTTACACAAGTAAGGTTCACTTCAATAAATAGGATTTTGATGGACACATTTTCAAGGGTATTAGAATAAAAGATGGTCTAAAGAAAGTGTGGTGAATAGTAAAAACAGTGAATTCTCTAGAAAAACAAGACTATAAAAACTTAAGAGTCTATAAAAGACTAAAGAACCTTAAATAATAAAGACTCTTAATAAAAGGAAATTTGTCTTCAAAGAACTGTACAAAGATTCTTGCTACAAGAAGGAAATCTGTAGACCAGTATCCTATAACCTAAAGTATTTATACTGTCTGGAATGGAAGTAAAGTTTGTGACTAATAATTGTTTAAGTGGAACACATTCTTTTTTTTTTTTTTTTTTTGGGTCCGGTTGTGGGGCCTGAACTCTGGGCCTG